AAATCGGAAGAAGCGTTGAAGTCTGACAGATGAAAATTATTGGAAACGACAAAATTTTAGCCTTTTCAATTCGTTTGTGCCGAGTTTTTTCCACGGGAGTGTGAAAGTTTAATTATCTTGGCATTCCTAATAGAAGAGTTCCACCAATTTTTTTTTTTACAAAGGAATAGACAAGTAGGCGAAATAATTTTGAAATAGTTTTTTACTATTCTCGCATGAAAAAAAGTTTTTAAAATTTNTCGGACCATGGACAATATGAACTTTTTTGTTCATTTTAGGGTGAAGAATCTACTGGAGAAGTTTGTAGCACGAGTAGCAATTCACCCTGTATATATATGTAGGATGGAAGCTTCCAACCATTAATTTATCCCCCTGCGGGATAACTCAAAAAAAGGAACAGCTGAGGTTACTTCAAGTGTCGAATGCCTAGTGTGTCGTGTCGGCTAAACATCGTGTTGTCCTTTCTTGTATTTTTATTGAATAATAAAACGTATTTTTGTGTTGCAAGTGATTTCAATTACTCTATTATATATAATATATAGTGCTGTTGATTTAGTAATCATTTTTAATTTTATTTCATTTTTTCATTCATTGTAACTATGACTGAGTTACAATCTAGAGACGTGATAATATTGAAGATGAAAAGTAGGAAAGTTTCTGGATGTCTCCATGCATGTAATATTCTATAGTTACTAGAGTTACTGGGAGGGAGGGAGAAAATGCGACTTAGTAATGCTTACACATGTTCTAGGAATAATTGTTAACAGGCACGTGTACAAAAATAAATTTGATCTTATTCATATAATAGGCAAATAGGCGAACCTAATAATTTTATAATTATTCTAGCGTAGAAAAAGTTTTAGAATTTGTTAAAGATGTTATTATTAAATCGAACAGTAAAACATGTATGTATAGTTATATATATATATATATATATATGTAATTAATTCCAATGCTAATTTATGCAAGTCACTGCCGACATTAATTGTAGCATTAGCATTGGAATGGAAGCAAAAGTCCAGTTTTTGACATAGTTGTGATAAGTAGTTTTTTCACCATGACTTTCTGTTTCCATTTGTTCAAATTTTTAATTTTTAATATATTTCAATATGTTTGAACCTTTTTTTGTGATTCTAGGTCGACAATTATTAGTCACGTAACAAAACAGTCTTGCCAGTAGGGTCTAGGAGCCGATAAAAAAACTATATTTAAATAATAATAATAGTTATAATAATAACAATAATAAAATGCTTATGTATACAAAATTGTTTACATTTTTTACATCAACATTGTTAAAGATAAACACTATGGTCATACAACCGTCCGATGGAATATGTTTAAGAATTTACATTATATTTTTAAAATATAGTTTTCTGCCTTCGCTATACATATATTTCAAGGTTAGTAAATATTGGCCAAGTTGGTTGTTTACCAAGGATAAGAGAAAAATATGAAAGGTTGCATTAAACGAGATTAGATATATAAAAAGCTAGGAAAAGCCAAAACATTGCCATATCGCTAGATGACAAAACACTCACGTATTGTATTTCAATAGAAGGTTCGAATTTGCTAATCTTGAGATTGCTTTTTCCGTCCCAAGTAAGGAAAAATTTGTTTGCAAAAAAAGAAAGTTCATATTCGTTTTCTTCACCCGAAAACGACTGAATACAATTTTTTTGGGGAAAAAATATTTGTCTCAAATTGTTCGCCTTCCAATTTTTTTTTGAAACCACAAGCTGCTGATAACTTTGAAAAGACTCAACCAATCCAAAGGAAACTTCATCGGAGTTTAGAATCTAAACCGATGAAGATTTTTTTTATATAACCAGAAGTTTTTGATTATTTATAAGTAGATAGCGACCGTTTTTGGGACAAAAAGCTATTTATTGCTTGTGTAACTCCACTTCTACTTGCAGGATTTTTAGTTTGATACTAATTTCTTTGGTAGGAGCGTTTTCTGTTTCTCTAATTTAATTTCATTCTCTGTTTCAATAATTCGTCAGGGTCGTTTAGGTGATCAAAGCGAGGTCAAAAAATAGCCATTTTTCAATACTTTTTGTCAAAGTCTATTTGGTCCATTTCTATCTATATTTTAAATTTTTGTTGTTCTTAGACAGTGATAAAACAGTCACAAAATATTGATAATTTGAAAACAATTATTCCGATCCAGAGGAAACTTGACTAAAGTTTAGAACTTGATAATCTTATGAGATAATATTTTTTATATTAATTAGAAATTTTGGTTTATGTATGTAGGTAGCGACCGTTTTTTGTGCGAACAGTTGGTTTTTACCTGATTTGTTTTGTTTAACTCCACTTCATTTCGATGGATTTTTATTTTAATTCGCATTTCTTTTTCGGGAGAGTCTTTACGTTATGCGTAAAAAACAATCAAAAATGAAATTCAATCGTATTTATTGTACAACAAAGGCAAAAAATGTAAAAAATATTGCTGCCAAGTCATTTTTCCTTATCACATTGAACATGTAATCAAACAATCAACAATGAAATTCAATCGTATTTATTGTATAACAAAAGCAGAAAATCATATTCTAAAAAACTATTGTGAATTACCTAATACATTTATTACCTATACTAATAATTGCCCTAGAATCACCAAACCATTTTAATTTCAATCGGTGACTAGAATCAGAAGATGACAGATCATCCAGCAAGGATTGGCAGGCCAAAAAAAAAATTCTGTGAAGATATTTTTTCTCCTTTCTTTCACCACGTAGTCAATAACATTATGCTAAAAATGGTTCACAAGAATTTTTTTCTTCCATTGACCATAGTCAATTTCATCATATTAAAAAACAATCATTCCCACAAATTTATTCTTTTTCCATTGAACACGTAATCAATTTTAATATAATGTCTTTTTGTGCAAAAAAATGCTCTAAAGAAAATTTTTATCTATCTATTGACTATACAGTCAATTACAACATAATCACCTTCCTTTTTTGAGAAGATAGTTCCTACTCACAGTAAGTATTACTGTGAGTAGGAACAATCTTTTTAAAAAAAGGATTGAACACCTCACTCACTCCATCATTCGTCATTTCTACATAATTAACTTTATAAAAAATATTTCTTCCAAGCCATTTTTTCTTCTTACATTGAACATGTAATCAAACAGTCAACGATGAAATTCAACCGTATTTATTGTATAACAAAGCCCGAAAATCATATTCTAAAAAGATTATTGTAAATTACCTGAATATATTTATTATCAACTACTAAGGCCTATGACGGGATTAATAGCCCTAGAATCACCAATCCATTTTAATTTCAATCGGTAACGAGAACCAGAAGATGACAGATCAATCCAGCATGGATGGGCAGGCCAAAAAAAAATTCTGTGAAGATATTTTTTCTCCTTTCTTTCACCACGCAGTCAATAACATTATGGTAAAAATGGTTAACTAAATTTTTTTCTTCCATTGACCATAGTCAATTTCATCATATTAAAAAACAATCGTTCCCAAGAAATTTTTTCTTTTCCCATTAAACACGTAAACAATTTTAACATAATGTCTTTTGGTGCAAAAAAATGGTCTAAAGAAGATTTTTATCTATCTATTGACTACACAGTCAATTACAACATAATTACCTTTATAAATAATGTTGCTGGCAAGTCATTTTTTCTTCTTCCATTGAACGTGTAATCAATTTTAACGTAATGTCTTTTTGTGCAAAAAAGAGTTCTAAAGGAAATTTTGATCTTTCTATTGACTATACAGTCAATTACAACATAATTACCTTTATAAAAATATTGCTGGCAAGTCGTGTTTTCTTCTTCCATTGAACATGTAATCAATTTTAACATAATGTCTTTTTGTGCAAAAAAAGTTCTAAAGGAAATTTTTTTCTTTTGTTGACTATTCAGTCAATTACAACATAATTACCGTTATAAAAAGTATTGCTGCCAAGACATTTTTCCATCTTACGTTCAACATATAATCAAACAGTCAACAATGAAATTCAATCGTATAACAAAGTCCGAAAATCATATTCTAAAAAAATATTGTAAATTACCTAAATATATTTTTTATCAACTAGTAAGGCCCATGACGGGACTATAATTGCCCTAGAATCACCAAACCATTTTAATTTCAATCAGTGATGAGAATCAGAAGATGACAGGCCAATCCAGCGAGGATTGGCAGTCCAAAAACATTTCTGTGAAGACATTTTTTCTCCTTCCTTTCATCACGTAGTCAATAACATTATGCTAAAACAATGGTTCACAAGATTTTTTTTCCATTGACCATAATCAATTTCATCATGTTAGAAAACAATTGTTCCCAAGAAATTCTTTCTTCTTCCATTGAACACGTAATCAATTTTAACATAGTCTTTTTGTGCAAAAAAATGTTCTAAAGTAAATTTTTAACTTTCTATTGACTATACAGTCAGTTATAACAAAGTATAACAAAGGCAAAAATTCATATTCTAAAAAAATATTGTAAATTATTTAAATATATTTATTATCAACTACTAAGGTACGAAACCATTTTAATTTCAATCGTTGACGAGAATCAGAAGTTGACAGACCAATCCAGCAAGGATTGGCAGGCCGCAATGAGCAGTAACGATCAAAAAACAGGGTTTTCAGTCCGGAATCCAAACAGGGAAATCTCTCAACATGGCAGAAGCTTTTTAAGCACAAAAAAGCCCATATAAAATAGTGGCTTCCTTTTCGCCACTAATCGGTAAGTAGATGATACTTCAAGATATTCAATAAAACGTTCAGATGTTTTTGTTGATTTCATGGATTTTGACGATGTTAAATGGCCAAAAAGGAATTTTTCTTTGAACATTTCGTTTCTAGGCTAAGGTATGCTTAAAATAATTATGTTATTCCGCAAAGATATTTTTTTAAATATAACAAATACCGTTATTCGATCGAATTCTCTTCATTTAATAGATTATGTTGTACAAGATATTTTCTATGATTAGATTTATTAGACGGGGAGGGGGGCAAGATAGGGTACGACCTACGACCCCAGATTGTATCTGACCACTCAGTGAGTGCCATGGCCATGCTCCAGCTGCTCGTGGTCTTCTTCATCTTCCTAAGATTTGGACAATCCGTGCCAATAAATGATTTCTACGAGTACGATGTGAACGAGACGGTCGTATTGGAAAAAGTTGACGACAACGTCGAAGAGTTACACCTTTCACGGCCGATCAAGTATCTCACAGAGTACTACCAAAGGATTTACGTGAGTTTTTGTCTCATAAATTTCGACCACGGTCTACAAAGTACAAATTACAAGAAAATACTCTATGCTAACTTCAAAATATGTAAATAATATGATCGTTTATGTAATACTAAAAAATTATATTGTTTTAGGATATTCCTAATTGTATCATTATACAAGAATATTTATTTATTATTTGTGATTTTTTTTAATCTGTTAGCTTTGAAGGATTTTTAATGTTTTTATTTTCTCACTGCTTCTTACTTCACGGTCTGGTTTTAGAGCAAGACTACGGTTTTAAAATCCGTCTGTACTTACAAAGACTATTTAAAGCATGGATTGTGTAATTTTACAACTCGTAAAAACAGTGCCGATTAAAAGTACCAGTTTTGTGTTTGATGACTTTGGTCATTGATCAAAACAGGATATGAAATTATTCGAGAGCGTTTAACCCAGAATTATCTACCCTTAAACTTGTTAAAGGTCGCTTAAACCGGCCACACGTTTTATCAGTGGAATGTTTGCGAATGGGTGACGGAATCGAGAGGACAATAAACCTTATCTAGGCATTATTAGGTTTACTGGAAATCGAGCTATATAAATTTCGGCTTCCTGTGTTTCCTACGATAGATTGATAGCGGCGTTACGCTTGTTTCTCACAAATGGACACCGATCAATGTTCAAATGATGCAGTGCCCCCGTGAAGAGAAATTTTAAGAAAGTATAATGTTATTAGAATAAAAACAACCCGAACAGTCATTTAACAAATACTGATTATTTAAAAAAAATAAAATCTACAAAAAATTGTGATTCTCATATTCTTATAATAACACGACTGAATTTTTAGACATTATTTCAGTTCAATTACACAATAATTCTCATATTTTTATCCGTTTAGACAAATAAATCTATAAATACTGGTAACATCTCGGTTCAGTGGCCTGCGACTAGTTGTAAAGATAACGCAATCTGATATAATTATGATGATCCCCCATAGATTAAAATAATCCCTGATAACGTCGTGTTTCATTGCAACTTTTTTTCTGTTCATTGACGTTAGCATTTTATACAAATTTTGACAAAATGACTAATTAGTAAGGCAAAAAAATACAACATACACACCAAAAATGTGCTACACCCAAACAATTCGTCATACATGAGCACCTCGAATTGTATGAACGGCGAGATATACACATTCGGCACGAGGCAATTGATGGTCACACAAATCATAAGTACTACCTTTATTCTTTACATGTACATGTATAAAAAACATTAAGCATTGCATACTGAACATAACAGCTTGTAGAATCATACTTGACTGATACAAAACTTGTCCAGACCATTCAGTTGGAATATACAGAGCACAACAGACAAAATACGAGCAAACTCAATGCATATATATGATTGCATACATGACAGACTAACTTCAGGACCATTAGCCAATGGGGTATATAAGCAAAAAATCATAGCACAAAACAACGGATGAAACAATCAGTTCTTCTTTCCTCCATTGACCATACGGCCAATTTCATCATAATGACTCTTTGTACAAAATTGCATGGAGAACATTTTTTCTTCTACCATTTGCAATATATTCAGCTTCATCATGTTAAGTAAATTGTTTTGAAGTAAAGTTTCCATTTTCATCTCATCAAACTGCCTTTATTGACTTTTTGTCAATTTTTATTGATCGTTCAGTCAGTTTTATCATTTAAATAAATATTGTTCTCAAGAAATAGTTTTTTCCTTTGATCATACATTCAAATACGTCATAATGACTTTTAATCTAAAAATATCAATGAAGACTTTTTCTCCTTCCGTTCCGCACTCAGAAAATTTTAACATTTAAAAAATTTGTTTCCAAGAAATTTTTCTTCCATTGGCCATACCGTGAAATTTATCATGTTAACAAACAATTGTTCACATGAACTTTTTTCTTCTACCATTGATTAGACAGTCAGTTTCAACATAATTACTTTTTATCTAAAAAAATTCTTGGAGACATTTTTTCTTCTTTCGTTCACCACGTGACGTTAAAAAAAATGTTTCCAAGAAGTTTTTTCCTCTTCCATTGACCACAAAGTGAAATTCATCATGTTAAAAAACAATTGATCACAAGAAATTTTTTCTCCTTCTATTGACCATACAGTGAATTTATCATGTTAAAAAACAATTGTTCACATGAATTTTTTCCTCTTCCATTGATCAAACAGTCAATTTCAACATAATTACTATTTACATATCTAAAAAATTTCTTGGAAGATATTTTCTCTTCTTTCTTTCACCACGTAGTCAATAACATGATGCTAAAAAATGGTTCACAATAATTTGTTTTTCTTCCATTGACCATAGTCAATTTCATCAGGTTAAAAACAATTGTTCCCAAGAAATTTTTTCTTTTTCCTTTGAACACGTAATCAATTTTAACATATATTTTTGTGCAAAAAAATGGAAAGGAAATTTTTATCTTTCTATTGACTGTACAGTCAATTATAACATAATTACCTTTATAAATAATATTGCTGGCAAGTCATTGTTTTCTTCTTCCATTGAACATGTAATCAATTTTAACATAATGTCTTTTGTGCAAAAAAAAGTTCTAAAGGAAATTTTTATCTTTCTATTGACTATTCAGTCAATTACAACATAATTACCTTTATAAAAAGCATTGCTGCCAAGTCATTTTTCCATCTTACGTTCAACATATAATCAAACAGTCAACAATGAAATTCAATCGTAATTATTGTACAACAAAGTCCGAAAATCTTATTCTAAAAAAATATTGTAAATTACCTAAATATATTTTTTATTAACTAGTAAGGCCCATGACGGGACTATAATTGCCCTAGAATCACCAAACCATTTTAATTTCAATCGGTGATGAGAATTAGAAGATGACAGGCCAATCCAGCAAGGATTGGCAGTCCAAAAACATTTCTGTGAAGACAGTTTTTCTCCTTCCTTTCATCATGTAGTCAATAACATTATGCTAAAAAAATTGTTCTCAAGATTTTGCTGGCAAGTCATTTTTTCTTCTTCCGTTGAAGTATAAAAGCTCATTTTGAAGATGAACAATTTCATCCAAGAAATATCTCTGAAACAGTTTTTTCTCCTTCCATTCACAATACAGTCAACCTCATCATAATGACTTTATCAAAAAAATGTGCTCTGAAATAGTTCTTTCTTTTTCCATTGACCATACAATCAATTTCACCATGCTGTCTTTATGCAAAAAAATTACTGGGACAATGTTTTTTTTCTATTTCCATTGTCCATATACTCAAAAGGAATTGAAATAGAGAATAAACTAACCAAATTGATCGGGTGCGTAGAAAAATACATTTGTCAGACAGGAAAAAAAAATAATGATCTCAAAAAGCCAAAAAAGTATGTGGCCACGTAGTCCGCGATTCAAAGTGAGAAGTGCAAAGCCTTCAGGCTGCAAGAGCCTTCCTGGATTAGGCTTCTAACTTCTTAAAAAAAAAAATTTAAAAAAATTCACCTTTTCATGCTCATTAACAAAGACATTAAAATTAACAAAGAATTTAATATGGCATGGATTAGAGCTAATGCTAGTATTGCCCATAATGAAAAAATAGATGGTTTGGCCAAACAAGCAGCGTCAATAGGGAAGGAATCTACGTTTCTACGAAATTATACGGATTTAATAAAATATATTAACAATTATAAATATTTACAGTTGGAAAAAGGAACAATATAAAATAAAATTCTACTTTAGTTGGAAATTATGTTGATAAACACGTTAGCAAAGACTTATGTAAGACCGTACGCAGACTTCGATCTAACACGCCGTGGGCGCATAAAAAAGAAAATAGGCCAGAGATATGTGCGATTGTTGTTTGTACTTTAATCAATGGAACATGTTACAATTATCTACGAGGCACAACAAACAATGAGAAGAATGTTTTTAACCAGTAAACCACTATCTGGAACTATCATTTGGAGTGATGTCCTAGAGAAACATAAATATTTATAAATTACTTTTTGATTAAAAACAAAACAAAAAAACAATGAAGCATAATGTGTAAATAGAAATTTGCAACGGGTGGGCGATAATAGATCTTATAGATTTGAATGACCAGGGTACAGATTCTTAAATTTGTTGGTTCATGTGGTTTTTTTAAATAATAAAGTAAAAACATTATTTATGAGACGTTTCGGGAATTTACACCCAATATTAGCAATCTATATTGCTTATAAAAATCCATAAGTATAACATTAATATTCACATTTTACATCAAATTGTTAAAAACTTATCTTTACTAATCTATACTATTAAATTAATAATTTACTACAATATTTTATTAAAAATAAATAAGGTAAAATAATATTGTGTTTTAATACAGCCAATAAAAGATACTAGAAAGATAAATAAAAATAATGATCGACTAAATTAATTGTGATGAATGTAATAAAATAGACATCCGTCAAACAAATAAATATGGGTAACCGGTCAAAGAATCACAGTAATGATAGCAAATATTAAAACCAAAACACAACCCTTTTTTTAAAATATAAATTGTTCAAAACATATACCCAATTTAAAAAATCAAAACATTGCTGCCATAATGATAATTCAAATGTCGAAAGTTAAAATAACTAAATAACTCTCTGGGCAGGTTTTGGACTTTCATCCCTGGAAAAATGTTGACAGAGTCGGAGTTTATTTAAACATTTCTCATTTTTGTTACAGATAGACAATAACGGTCTTGTTTCTTTTGCGGCCACGGACCCGGAATACCAGAACCTTTTGTTTCCTCTACCTTTGCCCGCCATTGCTCCATTTTACAGCAATGTCGACACAACCGGTTCTGGAAAGGTTTACGCGAGAGAGACGACAGATCAGCGCCTGCTCGACAGATCGGCCCATACTATCCGCCAGCTTTATCCAAATCTGCCGGCGGAATTTGATCCCAAATCGATGGTGGTCGTGACGTGGGATTCTGTCGGTTATTACAATAACAAATGGGACAAGGTATCTGCCTCCAGCAGCGTACGCATGCCGTAAAATGCTAAATTCACCCCGTTTCCAGGTAAACACATACCAGTTGATCCTTACGACAGACGGCGAAGAAACCTTCGTTGAATTGCTATACGCAGATGACGGGATTCAGTGGATTCAGGCAGAAAACAAGCACGTACCCTTCGAAACGGACATACGAGCCCAGGCTGCACTGATTCTACCGAACGGTAGACTCTTCTCACTGCCAGGCTCTGGAACGGTGCAAGTCAATTACTTGAACAAGTGAGTGTGGAAAACAAAATAATGGTTTTGGAAAACATCAATCTACAAAACGTCCTAGCATGTTAAAACTTTAATAGGTTTAGCAGTTACCATGGAACCTGGAATGCCAAAAATTAGTTATAGAATTGTTAAAAATTAGAAATTTTATTTTTTGTCGTGTTTTGTGGATTCTATGATTTTATGGATACTTAACTACTTGGATACTTTACTTCTGATAAATCCGTTTAGAACAAAACAGGACCCGTTTAGAAATGAGAGGTCAAATAAATCTGGATCATTTTGGTACGCCACGTGGCGGCGGATAAAAGTACTATAGAGGGTAAAATGTACTATAATTAGCCTTAAGATAAGAACCACTGATTTGTAATGTTGAAACATTTAAAAAGGTCGAGATAATCTCGTCCAGCTTAAATGATTATAAAAATAATTGCATTCATTTGCATTGTAATTATTCTTTGAATCTCAGGCTAAAATAACCATTTTTGTATATGGATTTCAGTGCTTTACGAAGTGCCCTCTTTGAAATTATGACAAGACTTGGAAATGGTTTTGGTTATTCAATTAGGTCTCATACGAGAAGACAATTTAGTTTTTAAATAGCGAGAGCAGACGACTAAGGCAATTGTTCTTATCTTGATTACATTTTCGGCATTTTTCTCTTCTCTGTGTATTGCTGGTCGTGTCGTGAAAGGATACGGCGGGTGTCAATGAGCCGGGTGAGTTTTGAAGTCAGTGTCAGTGAGGAAGTAAAGGCGATTGAGAGCTAAGTCGGATGTTGAATGAGAGATGAGTGCGAGGTGTTGAGAGGGTCCTTTGCTCTCGTTACAGTACCATGAGTGTGGATTGTGAAAACTCATCAACGTGTCTGATTTGAGCCAATTGAGTCCTACTTGAAACAGGATGCAGATTTCTCATTGACTGCTATTTGGAAGAGACAATCAATGTCGGGGTGGTGGTGACCGCTAGTAGTTTGCCTGGTGGGCACATTAGGTCACCGAAGACAGTACGTATTATTTTTCCTAGCTACAAGTAGGGAGGAAGAAGTGAACAATAATGGACACACCATTAGGAGCTGTAAGAGCTTCAAATATCTAGAATCTCTTGTATCAGATGGAAATTAAACCAATTAAACAAATGCCACAACTGATCCCACATGCCTTCTTGCGCAGAAATGGACCCTAAATTCCAAGCATTGCCTCAAACTGTAAAAATGATTATTTACAAGAATCATTAGACCAGTGGTGGCTTAAGAAACAAGTGTTGTATGTTGGCAAGGAGAGTGAGATGATCGTAAAGGTCTTGAAAATCTTCTCCTTGGTAAAGGAACAGGTATAGCGAATTTGAACAGATCTTTGGCGAGATTGTTATGTTTACCTATGGCGGGCAAAGATAAAGAAAACAGACTTGAGAAATTCTACAAAAACTCTACGAACTGCATGTCTTAGCATTAACGGCGATACACATTTTGTTGTTTTATCCACGGCTCACAATGAAAGATATTAGAAAAAATCGTGTTCATGTGTTTTTGTTTCATTTTTCGTACGTTTCAGGTTGTTGGCTCATCTTCAGCAGCCTCAAATGGTCTTATTCTTGTTTTGTACCCCAACAACCTACGACATTCCTTCTAATATCTTCAATTAAGTGAAGGCATCTTTCAGACAAGTGTAGTCTTTCCATTGAAATTCATTCCGAGAAAAGAAAGCTGATTGGAAAATAAAGAAAAAAGATACTAGAAAAGAAAATATTACGGGCATAGTAGAGAGGACTTTTGAACATCACATGACTTTCGGTCCGACCACAATCATCTTTCAAGTCGTAACTTTCCAGAAGCATATGAAATAAATCATAAACAGGCTGGAAAAGAGCTCTCCAAGCCAATGAGATTACCTCAACCTGTATGCATCTGCCTGCATATCCTAAGAAAACAAGATTCCCGGTTGTTGGGCCACTTGGGGGCACCTAGAGCACGTTTGGCCCTGGACTGTTGTGAGTGGACTTTTCCATAGGTCAATATGCTGTGTAAATGGCTTTTATCCATATCCATAAGAACGGCCGTACTAACGTAAAAGAGTGAGTCCCCTATATAGCTGGTACACCTGGGTGGCCTCCGAGACGGCGGCGTTGGTTGGCCCGTCTGTCTGGGTCCCTATTACGTTATGGCTAATTGGCTAATCTGCTAACTAAACCCAGGAAAAAACTATACACGAAATCATGAGGGATTTACAGCCAACGAGACAACAGATAAACTTGCTAACAAAGGATCCTCGGAGCAACCCATAGGCTCAACGAGCCAAACCATTCCCTTTATTAAAAAAGAAAAATTCTTCCAGGAAATGAGTAAGAACAAATCGGCACAACGACAGTTTAAATGCTAATCCTAGGGAAATTCCTACGTCTACGGAGAAAAAAGAGACTGATATAAGAGCATCTAAGAACTGGATGAGAGTTCACTCAAAGATTGAAGGTTAAACCGAGAGTTAAACAGAAGACGTGTGTGATCGACATGAGCTGGGGTAGAAAAGAAAGATGGAAAATGCACAGAACTAAAACATAATCAGAGTGATTCCTTGAGCTATAGCGCCGGTTGTCTATTTTATCTATTTCAAAATGTTATTGGGTTGTCCGGAAAATAATGCAGGATTTTAAGTTTTCATTAAAAAAAATCTATATAAAATATTCTGTTTACGTTTACAGGATTACTCATTNGAAATTATTTTGATTAAAGAACATTGCTTTAAAGTAACTAGTTTCTTTTTTTTTGTTTAATACCAAAATCCTGCATTATTTTCCGGACAACCCAATACATTTTATACAGGTTGAGTCATTTTTGGACGCACCATTGGAAAATCAACGCGGGTGCGTTTAAATCTGACTCGAGGCTTATTTCCTTTTATTAATACGTTAATAAAAGAAAGTGAGTCAATTTTCGGTGCACCATAGGAAAATCAAGGTTGATGCGTCTAATTATCGGCACATTTTATTTTGTTAGTCTCGTACCAAAAAATAGGCGAGTCACTTTTCAACGCACCATTCGTTACAAATTAATTTTAGTAGGTTGGAAGGAAAAGAAACAAAACCAATATTATTAAAACATTATTCAAACACAATGTAAAAATTAAAAAAAAATTCTTTACAAATTAATTTGATTATGGTTTAAGAGTATTTTTTTCGTCCGATCATCGTTTTACGATAGACTAGGCTACTGTGTTGCAGCAAATGGAGGTCTGTTCGAACAATTATTATAATGATTTTGAACATTTTTGATTTGCTAACAAAGGAGATTTTTACATTTATTTAATTTTTTTAGTTTGTCAGAAAAAAGGAGATTGTTATGTTTATTTAATTTTTTTACTTTACCAGAAAAAAATATTCTTAAATCATAATCAAATTAATTTGTAAAGAATTTTTTTTTAAATTTTTACTTTGTGTTTGAATAATGTTTTAATAATATTGGTTTTGTTTATTTTCCTTCCAACCTACTAAAACGAATGGTGCGTCGAAAATTGACTCGCCTATTTTTTGGTACGAGACTAACAAAATAAAATGTGCCGAGTCATAATTAGGCGCACCTACGTTGATTTTCCTATGGTGCACCGAAAATTGACTCACTTCCTTTTTTTAATGTTAAAATCAAAAGAAATAGGCCTTGAGTTAGATTTAAACGCACCAACATAGATTTTCCTATGGTGCACCGAAAATTGACTCACTTCCTTTTTTTTATGTTAAAATCATAAGAAATAGGCTTTGAGTCAGAATTTAAAGCACCAACGTTGATTTTCCAATGGTGCGTCAAAAAATGACATCCTGTATATGTTACCATGCATTGGATACTTCGAAGAACTCAGTGTTTTGTTCTAACGTGTTATTCTTTCTTGATCGTTTTTAATGTAAACTGTCTTTAAAAATTATAAATTTTAAAATTAATATTTCTTATTGTAGGAGAACAAATACTGGGACTCCTGGACAGTTCGTTTTCAGAATCGGAAACATCAACGAAGATCAAGGAAAAGTTGAAGAACCACATAATTCAGACCATAGTAAAACTTAAATCAATGGACTTGCTTTTATTGGCCAATTATATTTATATGAAAATGAAAACCATTCATAGTTTCAGAACGACCACCAGCGACTTGTGAGGAAGGGAGATCTCTGTGTGACGTAAATGCTCAGTGCGTTGACTTGCAGGCTGGATTCTGCTGCAAATGCTACGAGACCCATTACGGAAACGGATTTTCATGCATTCATAAAGGTTGTCAATTTATACCAAAGCGTATGCAAATCGACATGATTCTCTTCTTGCAGCTGTTCCCAGGAGAATGCTCGGGAAGGCGAACGTAAACTTAAATGGAATTGTGCTGAACAACTTGAACTACCAGGGGTACATAGTGGTTCAAGACGGAAGGGTTTATGCAGCCTTGGATCAAGTGTCGAGGCGCATAGGCCACGAAATGAAACTGCTTTCCGTACTTCCAGGTGTGCCCGGTTGGATGTTTGCTCAACCGGCGGAAGGAGCTGTCAACGGTTTCCAACTGACAGGTAATCTTTATTTTAAAACCCGACGTTTAGTCCACTTATTAAATCTGAATTTGAATCAGGAGGAAAAGCCGAGCACTTTGCAGAAATACGCTTTGACAAATACAACTCCGTTAGGGTGCACCAGAAATTTGAAGGGCTGGACGCTTTTGAGCGCTTAATCGTCTCGGTTGACATAACGGGGAGTGTGCCAGTCCTCGGTCCCGATACGGAAGTCTTACTTCCCGACTTTGTTGAAGAGTACACAAGAACAGATGAAGGTAAATTAATAAAACTATGATTTCCAGTGCTCTCATAAACATTTTCAATAGGCGAATACAGATCACAATCCACGCATTTCGTCGACTTTAATAATAGAGAACGACTTGAAATATCTGTCGACCAAACTATCAGATTCAAAGAGAACTGTCCAACCGAACATGGTGACGTCCCACCTCAAAGGCTCACCGTGACAAAAAGCTTCGTGAGTTACGACGAAAATAAGGAGATTATCGTGAGACTTGCTTCGTTTTACAAAATTTCAAAATCAAGCGGTAAGAGAGTTTGATAATATATTAACGGATACAAATTATATGTTTAATTAAAAATCGTTTCAGACGTCATCGATCCCTGTATTGAAGGCCGAGCGCAGTGTATCGCCAATAGTTCCTGTATCGCGGACGGCCTCGCTTTCAAATGCGTCTGCAATCAAGGGTAAAATCTTATTTATATATGTACAAAATTAATCAGAAAATTTAGCATATCCTGCTTTAAGATTAGTGAACATTTTTAGCTAGAGGTTTCTTCTCACCAATTAAAAACAAATGGCTTTAGTTTTACTTGTCCAAAGTCGTTAAAGGAATCCTTTTAAAATGCCTAATACCCATCCAACCCATCCTAGATTTACGTAATGTTATTCCTCCACACAAATTTGGCTTACGTCCTCTCATTCCACGATTCAGCAATGTTTCAGAGTTGTAGACACTTTTTGACCTTTACTTTAGAGGCAGAGAGTACTGCTTAGGTGCATTCCCATAGTCATGTCCCAATCTTTCGACAGGGTCTGACATCTTCGAACTAATGCCTTTATTATGTTTCCCACTGGGGTCTTTTAACATGGAGGTTCTTTAGCGTGCGCACTTGGCACATAGGTCTGATCACACGTTTAGATTATCAAGTTAGGAGGGATTCACCCCGCGCACGGAAAATCTGCTTCATCCGTGAGGATCGGTGTAGAAGCCCACATCATCCTGCAGCATGCTGCCGACATGTCGACTTCTCCCGCTCGCCCCTTCCGAGGTGGTGGGTTAACATTGTGCACTAAACCGTGTGCCGCGGGTAAAGGGATGCCCAAAAGGGGTCGAAATGTATCGACCAAGTCTCCCACGCACTCCCTAGATAGAGAAGACAACTCTATCTCCTTGTGTGTTGGGACTCAGCCAGCGTCGAAATCTCCGGATCCACTCCGAACGCGGTTTCGATTTTCGAGGAATCTCTAACCACCCCCTAGAGGAGACCATACCTTCAGTAAACCATCACCGAAAAACATCCGACCCCGTCCACCATTCCTCACCATTCGAGGGACTCCGTCAGCGCAGTCATAGCCTCGTCGTTGGCTGTACGTTTCGGTGGTCCGATCGCTCCGATTCCCCCGAAGTCGGGAGGTTATTCGGTGGTCATACGCAAGGGGTCCACAGCCACGAAACACAACGTCATCTCTTGGTCTCCGCTAGGGGACCTACCCCTTATTATCAAATTCTAAAATCCTTTCTAATCAACCGTTGCTTTAGAGTGGGCACGACGGCATCGAGTCAGACCGATCAACCGCAAGAGAGTATCTTAGCCCCATCCTACGTACAATTTATACTGCTGACCTACCAATACATCCCAATTAGTATACCATCCTACGGGGACGATAATGCAATTTTATCTCCTAACTCAATCTTATCCAAGAAACATTGAATATCCACGAGCATCTTGAACCCATTGAAGAATGATGTAAAACGTGGAAGAGATAATTGAACTAGGATTAATGTGAACAAATTACGTTCACGGTAAACAAACATACTTAGCCACGTCTATACGCTAATAGTTAAGAACTACCGACATGTACACAAGTAAAATACTTAGGGCTATACTTTGACAATAGACTGACATGGAATCCTCACACAAGATCCAAACGGCAAGAACTGAATTAGACAATTTGGACAATTACTAATACTTTTTGGACCGAAATCAGACGTGACGGTAAAGAACAAACTTATGGTGTACAAAACAGCACTATCTTGACGTACAGCGAAGCTGTGAGTACCACCAAGCCTTCTAAAATCCAACAAATTCAAGCATAACAATCAAAAGTCCTCAGAATAATTCTCCAACCTCACTAACATGGTTCTTCGCCAAAGAATTGATCTGACGCTTCCTCCATTCTTTCAGGCCATCCTAACCCTACTGCTCAAGACCTTTCCACTACCTCTCATCCCAAGAACCCTCCACCTCTCCCTTAACCAGATAAAAAACTGAGAGCAAGCATTGGCTAGCTTTTCGTAAGACGTGACCTCCAGGTACAGTAAAATCAAATTTGCACTACAATTAACATTTTATGAGATAATGAGTTGCGGTGGATTTAGTGTACTAAAGTTGTGAAAGATTGGACTAACCTGATAAGAGAAATATCTCCAATACAATTGAGAATCGATTCTGGAAAATAGAGACTTTTTAGTCCAATTTGACATGTAGAATAACCTTGTGTATCGACGTCTGTTCATGAGGACCCCTATACATACACTCTAACATAAAATTTCTGTTATATAAAAGCAAAAATAAACCTATTTTTACAAAATTGGGAAGAAAAACCGTACCTAAAAATGACACAAATCTTAAAGCAGGATAGCTTCATCTTCTTTTATTTATATATAAAGTGAGCTCATATAATTTTACATAAGAGAGTATAATTTAAAATTTTATTTGTATTCGAATGAAGCTGTTTTATAACTGTGCAATGGCTACAAAAATACGAAGACGATTTTGCGTTTCCAACTTCTCTTTTCAATGTCGTCTTTTTTCCAGTATCCAGGAAACTTAAAATTATATAGAACCAGATGTTTTTCAACTTCTCTCACCAATAATAATTTTACCTATTGATCCTGTCTTTAAAATCATCCGAAACCTCGATTGCTGAGTTGCGTGGATTTGATAAGTAACGCGTTGTCAGCTTCGTCCCATTCATTTATATTGAAAGTGACTCATTACGAACTGGTAACTCAAGTCACTAATCGGTTTCTTTTGAGAAGCTCCGGGTGTAGACGGTCTAAATCGCATAGATGAAAAATAAACACGCGCTTATCCATCCAACATTTTATCTTCTTAATGATTGATATATGTCTGTTCGTGTATTTGTACTTGTCCGTTTTTTTTTTTAGTTTTTATTTCTTGCTATCTGTACAAAATATACATTGAGAAAATAGTTTACTTATATAGAAATCTGACAGATATGTCAGACCAGGAGGCAGTGGGGAGAGAAACCGACCAGTGCTGGAATACTCTTTTATTTAATAGGGTGAGTTAAGATAGGACAGACGAGGCCATCGTCGTTTTAAACCGCGCTGAGGATTGCGACGTCAGACGTTGAGGAAAAAGTTGGGGCTAGTGGGTTAGGGAAGAAGGATAGTTCAGACTGGAAATTGAAGAAGCGTGTTCGGATAAGATCTTTCACGAAAGGGATTTTAAGATCTTTATTGGTCGTTTGATGGGAGACATGGAAGGAATCTTTGAGGATACGGCAGAAAATTTTAGATTGAAAAGATTGAATTCGTTGGATATTGCATGATTTGCCCGAACCCCACACTTCAACTCCGTAGGTCTAAATTGTCATGAGTGTTTTGTAAGCGGTTAGTTTGTAATGTCTGCTTAGTGTTGATTTATTCCCAGTAATCCATATCTTTTGTTAGGTTCTTGCCGTTTTAGTCTTTTGAGTGGGTTCCATGTAAATCCTACTAAGTAAAGTCAAGGTAGCGGACTTCGATGGTGGTACTTCCTTGTTGTTAATGTGTTTGAGCGTAAACGTAACTTATTGGCTTTTTTATTCGTTTAACTGTTGCAGACTGCACAAGTCGGTAATGAGGTTCAGATGTTGTTGGATTGCTTCTGTTGCTAGGATAGGATTGGAGATCGTTAATAAGATTGAGGTGTCGTCCGCGTAGGTTGACTTGAATGTTTGGATGTGTGGGTACGTCAGCAGTGTCGGTGTAGAGGATTGGGCCTAGGATACTCCCTTGTGTTCCTTGTTTAACTTTTATATCGTTATAAATCTGACCGTATGATTCCTGAATACAAAATGAACCGATTCAAAGTTATCGGAACGTCCTAATTACAAGAAGTATAGATTTCAGCCGTCAAATTCTGATTACTCGGGACACAGTACGGGGTGTGTGGACGTAAACGAATGCAACGCTGGGACCCATTTCTGCAGTCCAAATGCCATTTGCGTGAATGAAATCGGCACTTACACCTGTCACTGCAATAGCGGTTACTCTGGCGATGGCAAATATTGCGAAGGTAAGCGACGCGCGTCCGTCTGATACGGCAATTTAATTGATACAACCGATTGTTTCAGCTGTCGAGAGCCAATTACCTCCTCACATGACATGCCCTAGTGCATCGTTTTCAGTGAACGATCTCAACTTCTGCACATGCGACGTCGGGTAAATACGCCACAATTAGTCGTACGTAACATTTAACTCTAATTACCACATTTTAGGTACAAAAAGTATTTTTCGTCCGAAGTCAATAGTGTTTCGTGTGAAGATGTCGACGAATGCGCCGAGGAAAGTAATCCTTGTGGAGACAAAGAATGTGTCAACTACAATGGCGGTTACGATTGCAGATGTCCTTTTGGATTCGAAGAAGACGAGAACGGTGCATGCCAAGGTTTCTTTACTACCGTGTTTTGACGACTGGAAACGATGTAACATAGTTTTGTGCAGGTGGTGCTTGTTCGGGAATACAATGCCCGTCTGGGCAGAGATGCGTACCAGACGATAATCAAGGGTTTCTTTGCGTCTGCGAAGAAGGGTACACGGGTACCGCTCCATACTGCACACCAATCGGCGAAGAAACTACGGAACACAACACCGGTTACTATGGTAGTTTTTTTCGCCCAGTCTATTTTTGCTAAATTATTAAACTTTACACTAATTTTGTAAAGTGTAAAACCACAGAAATATCACATTTCCCATAACGAAAGTCTCTATAAATTCAAATTACTCATTGTATCATTTCATTTTAAAACATTCAACATTCTACTTATTTTTTTTAGACGAGTGTCGTTCAAATTCACATTGTGAGGAGAACGCGAGTTGCGAATTCAACACATCGACCAATGTAAAACAATGCCAATGCGTTTATGGATTCACCAACAACGGATACACGTGCGTTCCTTCGCCGACTAATAAAGTCATCCCTCGCACTTGCCTGAGAGACGAATGCTGGTGTCCACCGGGATACGACGACGACGGAAATCACTGTGTCCAACAGACCGTCGACCAGACTACAGTTTCAACCGTCGAAGGTATTGTACTTCCTGATGTCTTTTATGGAACTAAAACAAGGTCAAACCATTGCAGAATGTCGAACTGAACAGGACTGCCACGAGGATGCGGAATGCATATTTATGAGCAATGTGGGGGCTTACAGATGCGTGTGCAAACCGGGCTATGAGGGTGATGGATTAAACTGCCACCAAATGGGTAAGCTGATCTAATTTTATATCCCCCGGCAAAATATCTTCCTCTAATGTCTACTCTTAGACAATTTATCCAATATTTATTATTATTTATATATAAATAATAATATAATATTTATGTTATTGTATCCCATTTTGCCTATACGGTCTTTTTTTAGACATATCTTGTTTCGAGGCCGATATATGCCATGAAAACGCAAGTTGTATTCCGGACGATGGGAAATACATATGCATCTGCCATAACGGATTTGAAGGAGACGGAACCGTTTGCTATCCGAAGAGTAAGGCAATTTGACAAAACTACCGTAAACAGAAGAAAAAAGAGTGTTTGATTTTAGATGAATGCGGTGAAGATTTTTTCTGCCCTCATCACGCTCATTGCGAGTATAACGAAAAGAACGAATATCTGGAATGCGTCTGTAATTTCGGATATAAAAAGAGCTCGGCTGGCGATTGCGAACCTGTTGAAAGTAAGCAACCTTGAGTAACTTTAAAACCTTAAGAAAATTTGCGGACAACAGTTGACAGACCAGCCAGATTTTTAATTCCAAATTAGAACACTTGCGTCACAAAATATTTCGAATTTCACACAATTTGCGTTGTATGGCCAAACTGTTAAACATTTTCGATTTAATAAGACAGATGGCATACTAATTACAAATTGGTACCAAAAGCCAATGAACACTGATCGATACCTCAATTATACATAACACCACCCATTACACAATATTAAACACGGCGAAGGTATTCTTACACAGAATCATATCTGTAAGTCACGAATCCCTTTATCTAAAAAATATTCAAAAATAAAAACAAATCTTACATAACAAAAACTACTCTAAAAACATAATCAAAAACAATTGTAACCTAGTACTACTCAAAATCACATCCCAATCACTCAAAATCCAACCAAATATACATGTCCATTCCATTCGTCCACACATTGTCACAGAAATCAAGTAAATTTCTCTCCTCAGAACACATTAAAATAGCTTTTAAAAATTACAAAACAGTACACACACTTTTTCCCAAAGTCAAAGACCTAACACCAACACCCTGCAAATCCGATGTAATTCATAAAACTAATTGTATGAACTTTACAGCTACATACATTGGAATTCCATCACAATATCTGGAAAAACGAGAAAAAACAGCAAATCTATGACTGTAAACCAAAAACCGATCCCACAGCATAGGCCACACACATTATGAAAATAACACAACTTTGATTACGACAAAGTACAAATACTAAACGCAGAAAAAAAACAAATACAAACACAACTTTCTAGAAATGATTTGTGGATTCGTGAGAAGCGGTCAGGAATGAGGTAGTCTAGAAAAACTCTTTTTTTTTTCTTTTTTCCCCCGAAGTTTCGACATTTATTCAGGTCTCCCTCAGGGCCCGTGTACATTACCAAACATATGTTGATTGTAAAAAATAAGTATACCACACAGATGTTCTAATAATATAAATTTTAAACCAAGTATTTCATACTCAAAGTGTGGTGCTGTGCTTGTGGTGTCATATTGGTATTGCGTGAAACTGGTGTGAAATTAGTATTCCGATGTTTTTATATGATAGTAGTTGCGGTAAATCTGGAAAATTTTCTTTGATCATAATGAAAGTATGCTCTCTATCACAATCATATAAAAACAGCAGAATACAAATCCACGTTCACAACAGTTTCACACAGCATCAATATGACACCACGAGAATAGCACCACACTTTATGTGAGTATGAAATACTTGGTTCAAAATTTATGTTTACATCTGCAATTGTATTTTTTCCAAATTAATATACGATTTGTAATATATCTAGGCCCTGAAGATGATCTGAATAAAAGTCGGAACGTCGGCAAAAAAAATGAAAAGGGTATTTATCTAAACTACCTCATTCATGACCTGTCCTTACGAATCCACAAATTTTTTTTAGAAAGTTGCTTTTTTATTTTTTTTTCTAGCGTTTAGTATTTGTACTTTGTCATAATCAGATTTGTGTTATTTTCATAATGGTGTGTGGCCAATGCTGTGAAAATAACAAATTATGTTCGATTGGTTTCGCGTTTATTTCATGCCTGGAATATGGTTATGAGTACATCGCTGAAAAAGACCAATGTTTACAATGCTTGTTCGATACAAATGATAAAATCGTTAGATTTAGGTTCGATCCCCCCCCCCCAGTTGTCTTGAAGGTCTTATCTTCATCAGAGGTAGTATATATATATATATATATATATACATTGTTTCTAAATACGTCTTAGAAGTACGTTCTAGTTCAGTCTCTGTTCTTAATTCCACTTAATTTTAAATTCTTTTCAATTAATTAAGGTTTTGGTTGAGATAAAAAAGTCAGTGTCACAAGCGAGATTCGAACCCACGATCTTCGGCTAGATACGCCGCTGCTCTACCACTTGAGCTATCGTGACATCGATCCACATGGAAAATTCAAAAAGGTGGGGTTGAGATGGGAAGTTAGTATCGGAGTGGATCGATGTCACGTTAGCTCAAGTCGTAGAGCTGCGGCGTACTTAGCCGAAGGTCGTGGGTTCGAATCCCGCACGTGACACTGACTTTTTTATCTCAACCAAAACCTTAATTAATTGAAAAGAATTTATTTGGTCAAGTGGACCACGAAGTCTAATAAACTTAATTTTTGAATACAGACTAGTCGAGAATCCGTTCCTCAGAAGGTGTTTCTGTTTAATTTGTTCAATTGACCTCTTTGATGGCTGTGATCTTTTATTGTTTTACTTCAGTTGTTAGACCGTCTATCTTAAAATACAGTACCATGTATAATTTGATTTCATTTATTGTTTATTGTTTTCTTTTCGGTTCCGCAGCTTGCAGAGAGGGCTCCTGTGAAGTACGCGGTTGCGACGTTGAAAACAACTGCTCACCGTTTGCAGATTGCGTCTATAACTACGAAGAACGCGGCTATCGGTGCTCGTGCAGAGAAGTATTTAGCCGAGAATCATTCCCGATTGATTATAATCATTGCTCATGGGTTCTTCCTGTTTTAGAATTACGAAGGAGACGGTCAGGAATGCAATGAGAAAGTCACTTGCAGAATAATGCCGGAGTTGTGCAGCGAATATGCCACGTGTGTGTACTTGGATCTACAGTACCAGTGCAAATGTAACGAAGGCTATTTCGGAAACGGATCGTATTGCAGAGGCAAGAGACTTTTATCAGTGGTACGATTACATGGAAATGTTAATGGAAAACAATTCTTCGTTACAGAGGCCACAAAACAGAACGAGCAATTTTTATTGGTCACCAAAGGTGGATCGATAATCAAGCTTCCTCTCGGCTCTTCTTCCATTGGATATCCGATCAGAATCCTCAATCAAACTGCTATCGGTAATTTGGATTTTACTAGAATGACATGTAGTGAATTAACTTGATTGATTGCCAACAGGGATTGCAACGGATTGCGTTGAAGGGAAGGTGTACTGGAGCGACGTTTCTGGCAACAAAATATACAAAGCTAATTACGATGGCTCAGAACTGGAAGAATTTTTAACAACAGGTATTATAATTATTTAAAAGGATGTTTCTCCACAGTAATTCACAGGGCTAATTAAATTAATGTCGATGTTTGATCAAAGTTCTCCTATAAAATAGCATGGTTGGCGACGTGATAAATTTTCTTTTTTCCAAGATCAAGGAAAAGCCCTAAATTTCTTTAATGTTCAAATCTGTATTTGTTAGAGTAAATATCTTTGTCCCGTTACTCCTTGATCCACATTTTGACACTAAGGTTCAATGCGACGACTTTTTCATTCGCTTGTCCCAATCCACATGAAAAACACAGCAAAACATCACGTTACCAAGTTAACCTTATTTTCATTAGAGACAACATATCTCAAAATGACTGGAGGCAGATACCTGCCTTTTCTACTAGTTTTATTCACCGGTTCACCGACGAAAGGGATTTCTTGTTAATATCTGCGAAATAGAGAGGAGTGGTGAGGAGTGGAGAGGCAGGGAGTAGGGGAGAGAGAGAGAGAGAGAGAGAGAGAGATAGAGGAGAGAGAGAGAGAGGAGAGAGAGAGAGAGAGGAGAGAGAGACAGAGAGTGAGAGAGAGAGACAGAGAGAGAATGAGAGAGAGAGGAGAGAGAGACAGAGAGTGAGAGAGAGAGACAGAGAGAGAGAGGAGAGAGAGAGAGAGAGAGTGAGAGAGAGAGACAGAGACAGAGAGACAGAGAGAGAATGAGAGAGAGACAGAGACAGAAACTGAGAGAGAGTGAGAGAGAGACAGAGAGAGAGAGAGAGAGAGAGAGAGAGAGAGAGAGAGGAGAGAGAGAGACAGAGAGAGACCGAGAATGAGAGAGAGAGAGACAGAGAGAGAATGAGAGAGAGAGACAGAGACAGAAACTGAGAGAGAGTGAGAGAGACAGAGAGAGAGAGAGAGCGAGGGAGAGAGAATAATGGGAGAAAAACGAACTGTGCAAAAACTTTTTAAATTATTCCTTCATTTTTACTTTTTTATGTTAGTAGTTCTTGGTTAGATAAATTTTTAATATTTTAACAAAATTAATTTAAACAACATTATAATGTACAATAAGGAAGTAAGAATGCACAATTACCATGTTTATTTCAAACTTCAGTCAAGTCACCAGAAGGGCTTGCGTTAGACTGGATCCAAAGGGAATTGTTCTGGACCGACTCGAGCACACAATCTGTTTCTTCCGTGCGCATCGATACAAAAGGAGAAATCCGAGAAATTATAAAAGAAAATCTCTCGAACCCCCGAGGAATAGCAGTTCACCCGTGGAGAAGGTAAACCGTAAACGATTTCCAGCCCGATATTCAATTCTAGTAGTCGGTATTTAATGAACTTACGTTGGCAATGTAGAAAAGTGATTTGGTCAGACTGGTTCAGACAAAAACCAACAATCGAATGGGCCAATTACGACGGGAGCGGCCGAGAGGTATTGGCTTCTAAGCCCGATATCAACCTTCCCAATTCACTGGTCATCGACTGGGAAACCGACGAAGTCTGTTGGGCGGATGCGGGGAAAAAGTCAATCGGTTAGTTGAATGATATTTTAAGATTTGTCGGAGGTCATTAATAAATTTCGTTACAGGATGCTTACATCTGGGTACGAGAACTATGAGAACTGTTGTCCCCAAATGCAGTTATCCTTTCGGAATAACCGTGACGCCGGACAAATACTATTGGACGGATTGGAGCACGTAATACGGAATTGAATTATTTACGATAAAAACGCGAGCTCAAATATTCAATTTTCAGGAAAAACGTGGAGACAGCGCCAAAACAGACCGGCAGCCCATTGACGTCGATACAGGTGAAATACGGAGGACACGACAGATTGTACGGCATCGTCGCTGTGAGGTCTTGCCCGAATTGAAACTCACCATAATTTTGTTTTGTGTTGAACGTATTGTAATATATTGGTGGTTATTTATTTTAAAAAGGAACTTTAACATCTTTTTATAGGGCAAAATTTACAAAATATACTGTATACAATGTTAAAACAAGCATGCTGATATTACTAAGAACATTGAATTAATATTAAAATGTGGAATAATTAATTAAGAAAACAAAATAAACGATTTTTTATTTCTAAAGGTGAACTTTTTCTTTGGATAAAAACCACTTCGTTAAACAGATTCGGTAATCCTTTGGGAAAATTTACGCTGGCATATAATAACCGGGTAATCGCCATTTACCATCATTCATACCGAGGTAAGGAAAAAGAGCCGATATAGATATAAGAATATACAAATCAACGTACTTTTACACAGGGGAGATACGTTTCCATTGCAAACAAGTGCAAATTCGTCGAAAAAGTTTATCTCTCGGTTTTTCGCTGTTATCTCGCTTATTTAGAACGTTACGAGCTTACTTCTTGCACCAATCGACTTACAAAGGCGGTTTCATTGAAAAAAGTACAAATTCGTCAAAAAAGTTTTTTCTATAATTTTTTCGCCGTTATCTCGTTTATTTCGAGCGTTATGAGCTTAATTCTCGCTCCAATCGGCAGGGTCTCTTTCTGAATTTGTTTTTGGATTCTTTAATTCTGCTTTTCTAGACAAATAATTGGTTGTTTTCGGTCTGAAACGGCAAATGTTTTATAATAAGTGGCCAAAAGGAGAAAAACCCTCTCTCCTGGTTCCTCGGCCCGAGTTGGGACATCTTGCTCAAATACCTTTGAGTACGGGGATGTTTACGTGAGTGGACTTGAACAAATCGGGCCGCTTTTCAAAGGTGCCACTTCCCTAATTCAATAGAAACATACCGACTTTCCAGAAACAAATACGGGACTTGAATCTTTAAGCATGCCCCTAGAACTGAAAATCCCGTTTCCTTGGCCTAACGCGGCCGCCGCTTAATTGCGATGGGTATGAATTCATTCTTCCCCATCAATATGTTGTCAGGGCTTCATCACTATAATCAATTGTTTTCTCTCTATTTTTACAGTATTTTAATTGTGTACTATTTGTAATTACAATTAATTAAGGTTTTTAGTTGAGATAAAAATCAATGGCACGAGCGGGATTCGAACCCACGATCTTCGGCTAGATACGCCGCTGCTCTACCATTTCATTTGTCGTCGAGAATCCAATCCGATTACACGACATTTGAAAAATGGCAAAAAGGAGGGAAAATTCAAAAGTTGGGGTTGAGATGGGAAGTTAGTGTCCGAGTGGATCGAGGTCACGATAGCTCAAGTGGTAGAGCAGCGGCGTATCTAGCCGAAGATCGTGGGTTCGAATCCCGCTCGTGCCATTGACTTTTTTATCTCAACTAAAAACCTTAATTAATTGTAATATATTAATTAATCAAGCGGACCACGAAATTAATGAATTTAACTCTTTGTAATATAAAATACAAATTATTATATGTTCTAGTTTCTCTAGTAATGGCTTTACTTATAAAATAAATAATGTAAAAAAAATAAAACATTTTTTATTGGAAATTAGAGATTCTTTAAAAATTCTTTGTCTCATAAATAGTTTTCTGTATACAACGTGTTTTTCTCCTAGTAACTGGATATTATTAGTAATAATGTAAATGTTTAAATATAAAACTACCGAAATATATATAAAGTTAATACTGTTTTCCGTTCATCCTATGTTTGGATAACACTGTGGGCAACACTGATGCCCGAAAGTAAGTCACTTGGGTTAATACGTACTGGTTTTTCGTAGTACGTTAAAGTTTTTTCGGCTATAAAAACCGATTGTGTTTAGGTGAGAAAAACTCATGGACATGCGTATTACGTTCACACTGTTTTCCCATATTCCATGTTTGGGTAACTCCGTGGGCAACACTGATGCGCGGACGTAAAGCCGGGAATACACATACCCGATGCAACGCCATGCGACGCTATCCGATGCTACCCGACTAAAATCCAAAATCCAATTTTCCATAAGATTGTATCTCCCCCGTGCACATCTGCCCGATGCCACGCAACGTTACCCTATTCTACGCTCTGTGATCCCAACTGTCCAGATTTTCGCCGGGTAGCATCGAGTACAGTCAAAGACAAAAGAACCGGACACTCATATTTTTATTCAAACTACATGTATTATTGTCGTTATATTAATTACTACATACTTATTTTAATATAAAACAAATTAACCGAGATCAAAAATTCATTAGTTTTTATTTTAAAAAATTGATTTTAATGGTTTGGTAGAAAATTGATCAAAACACCGGAACACCATTTTTTGATATAATGAATTTAACCAACAATTTATTACACGGTTTTGCTCATAAAAGTTAACTAACAATTTATTTCCTGGTTTTGCTCATAAAATTAGACCATTTTAGTCGAGAAGCGTCAGAACAGGACACTCATATTTTTTGTAGTTTATTTCAAACTATGTATATGTAATTTTGTCGTAATATTAATTACAACATTCCTATTTATATGTAAACCAAATTAAACGAGATCAAAAATTCATGAGTTCTATCAAAATTATTTAATTATGATGGTTAGGAAGAAAATTCATCAAAACAGCGGAATAACTTTATTTAAACATTGTTGCATGGTTTTGCTCAAAATAATGCATTAAGAACAAAAGAGGCGTTGTGATTGTGATACTGATTTGGGATACACGCTGTGTGACTGTACGTGGCGTGCGCTTGACGTCGCATAGATGTGCAAACCCTGCCAAAACGTGCCGGGTAAATGTGCTTCCGGCTTTAGGCATTTGGTTATATACGTTATACGTTCTAATTTTTCGTAGTAGGCTACAGTATTCTCGGGGATACAAACTAATGGTTATAAAAACCGATTGTTTTTAGGTGAAAATAAGCTCATGGACGTTACGTCCAAACTGTTTTCACAAATTCCTTGTTTGGGTAACACTGTGGGCAACACTGTTTCCGAGAACTGCTTTACAGTTGTGTGTAATTTTGGGTTAGTGACATGCAGTATTTTTAAGAAGTAAATTAATATATTTTCTTTAGATGAGAATTTTTTGCCCATTCATCTCTCAGTCGTCCCTGAGGAAGACCCCGTACCGACGGACCACGGCCAATTTATTAGAATTTAAATTTACGAAAGGGATCAGTGTGACTTTAAACACCTTCTAGAGCTTTCATTTTAAAAGGTTTAATAAAGGGAGGGTTATTTACTTCTTCCTTGTGTAATTTAGTAATATTCATATCAATAGTTTTAACAAATGAAATAAGTTTAAATATGGACATAAATCTTAATTTCTCAAGGTCTAAGCTATATTGTTTCTCTTTTCTTTCTTAATGTTTAGGCTAGACTGAACTGTTATCCTAGGCTGTGGTACTTCTAGCATTGAGAGAAAAGCGTGGATACACTATTGTTGTTATTTATAGTGATAAGATTAGAAATATTTTGATTATGTTCCTAGCATTTCTTATATTTTCGCTATTTGTGAGATTTTATTTAATTGCTGATTCCAACAAAGTATTTAGGCATGATAACACTTAGAGATTTCACTTCTTTAGGTAAGGACATTTCAGCACTACATTTAGCACATGTGGCTTAAATCTTCCTAGTGCCTTTTTCATAATAAAGAAAACCCCAATGGGTCATATTGGGGTTTATTGACAACCCTTCAATTTCGCACAAGTATGCTGGTTGCACACTTTCTCCGAAAATTTCCATGTACGTCGACAGCAGATCTAGCAATTCTTTTGCCTGATGTAGGTCATGTTATGTAATTAATTGAGTCTATTAAGAAATTAAATTATAGATATTTTCTTATCTGCTGGAATTAGTTTTCATGCGGAATGAATGGAGCTTTCGGGATCTGTTAGTTCTTTACGCTCCAGGATTGTTTTGATTCTTCGCGAATTGTTTCTTCTTCCGAACAAATGAGAGAAAGGGTCTTATTTTCGACTTGTCTTCAATTAAGTTGACAACCGGGGGTAAAGCAACTGCACGGGCGAAAGTTTTATTTTTTTGTAGGGGCGGGGGATGAACAACGGTTTTAAACTTTTACCTCTTCCCAGTCCCACGCACCTTTGAGCGTACTCTGGCTAAAAAAGTTTGTAAAAAAAGCTTTTATTAAGAGATATGAATACAAATGGCTTAATAAACTATCATTTTAACGCGCCATAGTAAGATTTAGCGTTAAAGATGAAAAGGTTTCTGTTTATTTGATGGTTTTTGTTAGCCAAATGTTGAAAAAGAGAGATTCTCATATTTGTGTTATAAAGCCCTGTCATAACGTCAAACAAATTGATCCTACGATTTATTATTTCATTACAAATTCTAGAACTTTTTAGAAAATTATTAATTACTGGTATCTAATATATAATCTGTTTATAAGTAATTTATTGATTGATAAGTAATATGCCTGCTGTCTTCATACACGGATTTAGGAACGGTATGCGATTTGGCACGCGCTTGATGTGATCCGAGACGATGGTCAATTTATTTACCTTGTCTGCACTAACTCCCTCAGCGCGGTTACAGCCGTCCGTGACAAGTTCTCCGTCGACCCTCCGTGATGCTCTTGCTGGAGAAGTACCATGACCTAGAACATCTCGGCAAACGGTGGTTGTTGTATGGGTACCCGGACATATAAGTCTTGAGGATAAGGAAAAGGCGGACGAGGAGGCTAAGGCCGGGAGGTCCCAAACTCCCGGATAGCCTAAAAATCAAGATTAAAAGAAGGTGGCAGCATCGGTGGTCCGGATCGGCTTAAAAGATCTCGCATATCCAGAGTGATGGATGGCCCTTGAAGCCTCGTAGAAGAATGGTCATCCTCATACGATCAAGGCTAGGCTATGCAAGACACGGACACTTACTTTTGGGCCAAATCTCGCGTATGTCCGGCATATAGAGAAAGGTGTGTCCGATGTGTCCCACCTTACTGAAGTGTGATATTCCTTGCTCTATATAGAGAGCGTGTAGGATTGCCATCAGATATGAAAATCTTGCTTGAGCACGGCAACGAGCATGAGGGTTTCACGTTCCAATTTTTGCAGGAAACCGTATTGTTTTATTGTATACAGAGTTCATTTTTAGATGGCCCGGATGAATTTCGCTTGAATCAATGATGCTATCAAAAAAAAGTGTATAATATTTTTTAGTCTAGTTCAAATTTTTACCTTTATTTGAGAAAAATTTGCAGAGTACCTCAGGCCCAGTTCAACATCAAAATTTCAAATACGACCCTATACATCCTGACACCCCATTTTAAAGAATTTTTACGCTGAAAACAATGCTACAATTGGATTTTAAATTGGTCAAAAAATGACCAAGTTATGGGAAAAAGTTTGAAAAACTCAAATGGGTTAGCTATATAATAGGTTCTCCACCACCGTGAATGGTATGTACATGGGAAAGAATGTATTTAAGAATGAATGAGAGGGTGAATGTGTTTAGATCTAGATACTGCATCCGTTGGGTGCTGAATTGACAGCACCTGATGGCTGGACGGATAAAGTCGAGTTCGCACCCCAGACTGCCAACCCCCGAGGTTCCTTAATTCATTGTAAATTACAAAAATTGGAATTGCCGGTGGTCTACGAGAAGTGATAGGATCAACTCTGTACATGAGTATATGTACATACATGTTTGGATTTATGCTTATACAAATACAAATCCCAGTCCAAAAGATCGGTCATATTGGACAGTTTTCCACTTAGTGCCTACGCATTATTGACAATTCATTGGAAATATGTTAAAATTGAAAAGTCATAAAGTTAAATTTCGATTTAAAAAAAGTTTTATTTTAAACCAACATTGTTTAACAAATGAAAAATAATTTAATCAGAAAACGCTTACATGCTAAGATTACTTGACAACTTTTTATTTTCTTATACAAAAATTACAAAACAGTTCTTTTACACAGTAGGGGTAAAAATTTACAAAAACAAAAAATCTGGTACATAATTCAGCCCCAAAAACTTCAAGCGAGGTTTTACATTAGTCGCAATGGAACTCAATATTGCTTTACACTACATTTGAAAGAAATCCAACTTTGAGGATTGAACCACATAAAAATAAGCTCAATATTTTACCTTTGCGAGGCAGTTTTCTCCAAAACGAAAATTCGAATTATTAAAGAAAAGTCTCATGACGGTTTTGGATATCGTCCTTCCTCATTTCTTTAAGGGTTGGGACGCGAAACACGTTAAAAAAAAAAAAAATAAACGACTGCGTCAAATGACCTTTCATTGATAGCTGAAATAATTTCCTTTAGCCTTGGAATTCAATTTCCTGCGGCAAAGACTCCATGAAAGCTTTTCCGGATTTTACATAAATCAAGTATAGGTACAAGTAAGAGAGGGGAAAAGTACTAAGAACGTTACGCCGTCGTAATAAATGATTTATTTTCAAAGCGGCATCGATCACGCTTTTAGGAATAAATTAAACAGGTTGCTTTTATGATAAAAAGAACTCTAATTCACAATTGTTTGTAATTTATTTACACATTTTCTCACTTTTTACAACAGAATGAAAAAGAAACGAAAAGAAAATGTTGGGTTCAAGCTTATACAATTATCACATTAAATGAAATTTGATAAAACTCATTACATTAACATTCAGAAAAACAGACCAAAGTCTATCCAACCCAACAAATTTAGGAAATAACCCTTTCCGATTCATACTTTAAGGTCATAATATGTACATTATTTGACAGTAATTAATTTATGCATATTTAGTAATTTTATTAAACTCAATGGGTTTTTATCTGATATGCCTCTGATATGCATAATTAAACATCGTGCTCAATTTGTTCTTTTTCGAGGCTTTATGGACATTTAAACTAAACAGATTCAATCAGTCGTTTCTAAGGCCGGATCTCCGTTCAGGCCGTTCATCTCGATACGTTAACAAGGCCGCGGTGACTGCGGCCCATCCTACATTGACAGTTTCGATTTATTCGATGTCTCTACTTTGTTTTATCACCTGATAAGAAAAAGTGTTAATAAAATTGGGGAGATTCTCAGGCCGGAGCAGGACGACACCGTGAAACTGCGCCTCCTGCTGCTCGCCTCTGCTCCCCTTTTGTTGTTGGCGTCGTTAAAAAGGGGGAGTTCTTCGATTTCGTTGTTCTCCGGCAAATCTTAAATAGAAAACAGAAGAATTAAAGAAGGCAAAATGTTTTGATAAAGTTTAATTACATTTAATACAAACTGTATATATTTATTTAATGAAAAAGTTTCGTAATATTCCTGAGGAATGTGTGGTGATTAGTGACCATTAATCGATATTTATTTAGAAATCGTGAGATGCGGTCTGGTCTGATTTAGGTTTCAGAAAAACATTTTCTTTATCGTCGAGAGTGCCACACGACATGCAAGAATGGCACAATTACACAGAAGACAAACACTGAGTGAGTAGAAATACTTTGATTGAATATATAAAATATATCTTGCATTGTATAAATTCACTTTTCCACATCCAAAATGTAATTGTTATATGTAAACAATGTTTGTAAATCCCAGGCCCTGAAGATGATCTCAATAAAGATCGAAACGTTGGCACGATAAAGAAAATGTTTTTCTGGAACCTATATCACACCAGACCGCATCTCACGATTTGTAAATAAATATTCCTGAGGTTTAAGTTAACACATTTGTTGTTTACTAACACACAAAAAAGATGTCGAGAGGTCAAAGTCACCTGATGGTGTCTATAAGGATTGGATCAATTGAATGGAGCGAGAGGCGAGTGAATTGTAAAACGAAATTTGCTGAGGGATTGGGACCGATCGGCTTCGTATGATGGGGTTAGAGTTGGTTTCCATTGAGTGGTTTCTGTTGGATAAGGATTAGGGTAAAAGAGAAGCCGTTGTGAAGGGTGATGTTGGTCATCTTGTTGGGAGCATTTATTATGAAATTCTGAAAAAAATACGACCAAAACTCTAGAAGGATGCCGCGAGACTAGTGTCCTCTGCTGGGTTTTCGTGAGTAGCTTGGATTTCTTTGCATTTTGAAGGGCGGTGTTGGTGATCTTGTAGGGCGCATCGATTATGATTCTGATGACTTTGGATTGATAGTCTTCTTTGGATGTTATAAAGGACCAATAATCGACAAGGAAGTCGTGAGACCTTCCCAATTACAGTGGTATGTTGGGTTTATATGAGTGGTTTCTGTTGGATAAGTTAGGTTCAAAGGGGAAGCTATTGTGAACGGTGATGTTGGTCACCTTGTTTGGAGCATTTATTATGTAATTCTGAAAAAAATACGACCAATACTCTAGAAAGATGTCGTGAGACTAGTGTCTCTGCTGGGTTTCTGTGAGTAGCTTGGATTTCTTTGCATTTTGAAGAGCGATGTTGGAGATTTGATAGGGCGCATCGATTATGATTCTGATGACTTTGAATTGATAGTTTTCTTTGGATGTCCTTAAAGGACCAATAATCGACAAGGAAGTGGTGAGACCTTCCCAATTAAAGTGGTATGCTGGGTTTATATGAGTGGTTTCTGTTGGATAAGGATTAGGTTAAAAGGAGAAGCCATTGTGAAGGGTGATGTTGGCGACCTTGTTGGGAACACCTATTATGAAATTGTAGATGTGTATGATCATCTTTTTGGGATGCTGAAAAATCCCAACACCCTAGAACAAACGCGCGAGACCATTCCAACTTCAGTCGTCTGCTGGGGTTAAAAAGTGGTTCTATTAGATTAGTTTAAAAGGAGAGTTTATTGTGATCATTGTGAAAGGTTATGTCGATGATATGATTCTGATGGCTTTGGATTAATAGGTCTTCTTTGGTGTTAGAAAGGAACAATAATCGAATAGGATTTTGTGAGACCTTCTCAACTTCAATCGGCTCTATGGGGTTAAAAAGTGGTTCTATTAGATTGGGTTAAAAGGAGAGTTTATTGTGGTCGTTGTGAAAGATGATGTTGGAGAGTTATTAGGGAGCATCGAATATGATTCTGATGATTTTGGATTGATAGGACTGAATTTTTCGGTTGTTCGGAAGGACCAAATAATCTACAGGGACGTCGTGAGATTTTCTCAATTGCAATCGTATGTTGGGTTTAGTCAGTGGAGAAGGGTTCGGCTAAAAGGAGAGGCCATTGTGAAGGGCGATGTTGGTGATCTTGTAGGGACCATCTATTATGAAATTCTATATTTGTACATTTTGTCTTTTTTCGGTGTTGAACACGACAAATTCTCTAGAAGAATGTTTGGAGTTTTAATGGTGGTTTCTATTGAATAAGGATTGGGTTAAAAGAAGAGTTTATTGTGGCCATTGTGAAGCGTGATGTTAGTGATCTTGTAGGTAATGGTAATGAGGACACTAGGAAGCGGAGTGATCTTGTAGGTAGCATCGACTGTGATTCTGATTGCTATGGATTGATAGGATTGACTTGTTTGGAGTTAGAAAGGAACAAAGATCAACAAGGACGTCTTGAGACCTTCCCAACTTCAGTCGCCTGATGGGGTTTCTATTGGATTAGTGGGGGATTGGGTTAAAAGGAGAGCTTATTGTGGCCATTGTAAAGGGTGATGTTAGAGATTTAGTTGGGAGTATCGATTATGAATCTCATGACTTCGGATAGGTAGAAATGTTTTTTGTTTTGGGTGTTGGAAGGGCTAAAATATTCGACAATGACATCGCGAGATCATCTTCAATTTCAGTCGCCTGATGGGGTTTCTATTGGATTAGTGGGGGATTGTGTTAAAAGGAGAGCTTATTGTGGCCATTGTAAAGGGTGATGTTAAAGATTTAGTTGGGAGTATCGATTATGAATCTCATGACTTCGGATAGGTAGAAATGTTTTTTGTTTTGGGTGTTGGAAGGGCTAAAATATTCGACAATGACATCGCGAGATCATCTTCAATTTCAATTGCCTGATAGGGTTATAGGGGTGGTTTTTATTGAATAAAAATTTGACTAATTGATTAGGATATCAGATGGCTTTGCTTTGGAACGGAATTTGCTAAAGGGATTACGTTTTGTAATAAAATAATTTGCGAAGTGCGATGTTAATAATGAAATAGGGAGTAGTAACTATGATTCAGAGTTTAGGATTGCTTGTACTGTCTTTTGTGGTGTTGAATTCGATCAAGCAGGGCGCGAGAACATCCCAGCTTCAGTTTGATGAAGGTATAAGGGTAGTTTCTATTATATCAGGATTTGGCTAATCACTTGAAGTAAAAGATGACTTTGTTTTGCATTTTATTGCAAGATTACGTTTTGTAAGAAAGCGATTTTGAGGTCATTATCAAGGGTGACGTTAAAGACAAAGTAGGGAGTTTTGAGTGAAAAGGATGAACGGAATCGTTTGGTCGTCACTTTATACAGTTGGCTTGGAACAATTGAAATTAAACAAGAAAATTTTGGGGCGCATATAATAATTAAATTTATTAGTTTAGCATCAGTTTATCTTACCTGAATGTGTTGGAGCAATAAATATGATTGATTTCTTCGTAGGAGTCGTGGTAGATGTGGTAGCTGAAACAGAAATGTAACTTAAAACCACAATAAAGATGTTTTTAAAGCTTATTATTGGATCAGAACGAATAATTTGAGACATAATAAAGGTAGAACTATGGCAGATACAAAATATCAAAATGGTGAAAATTAATGATAGTCAAATGCTATCTATGTAGGTACTTAAAAAAATCTTTCATAAAAAACTTTATAAATATGAACAATTCATGCAGAATAGAGAAACAAAAATTGATATGGAAGAAATCTTGATCACTACTATAAAGAGGTTTGAAGGTATATTTAATATAGAGCAGTAGAGTTTACTAGAGTGAATGGGACTCTTTGGGCGGTGATTTCGATATTTCTCTATCAGCCTTTACACCTGTTATACAACTAACCTAATTGAGGGGTCGATGGCGTATTCAATATTCCGCCATAGGCCCGCTCACATTGCACACTCTTGCTAATAAATACATTCACTCTCAACACCCTCTAGGTACACACAAAACTATCAGTATTAAATACAGTAAAAAAGCCTCTTTCCACTAAAAATCGGAACGGGAGACCCAGATAACCGCAGCCCTGCTCAAGCACAAACTTCATATCTGGTGGCATTCCTCATGTCTCTATACTACTACTAGAGCCAAGGAATGGCACCATTCATTTAAGTGGGACACAGCATTTCGGATACAAAACTATGCGTGTTAACCTCGAATGACCTATCTGAATTGGTTAAGGATGAACCTTCTTCTACGGACTCTTGATGGTTGAAAACTTCTCTGCCGATCCAGTCCATCGAGCCTGCCACTTTTTTAAATTCATTTATTTATTTACAACTGCACTTGTCCAACAAGCAAATATGTGGTAATATTTAGTACTGTGTGTACGTACACACAAGGTACGTATGCAAGGAGACACAAAAGGGCACGTAAGGCTGAACGGCGTCCATCCAGTGACGGGAGCCGTTAGCTCACCTACAGGGTGGAAATCGCTTGACATTTGATTTTGAGTGGTCGGGTAATTTAGAATGAAAACTTTTTGTAACGGAATTAGGCAAAGATTTTTTAAGACGGTGTGAATTGTATGATTAGAGACATAGAAGGGAGCATTAAATATGGTTTGAAGTATTTTAAATAAAGGGTTTGCTGTTAAGATTGGAATGATTAGCAGTTCCATAAAGTTCAAGTCCGTATGCCCTTAGGGGCTAGCATTCAGTATTGTCTATATACTTTTGGTTTTTTGGTAGTGTAAGTTGGGCTGTCAACTCTTTTTAGCCTGAATCTTGTATTGTTACGTTTAAGTATCATATGAAAAAAATACTTTTTCTACTTGGATTTTGCTATATTAAGATTTTAAATGTTTATTTGTTTATCTTTTGGAAATTTAAGGAGTTCAGTAGTACTATGACTACATGAATAGGAGATACCAACATGCCAAAGATCAAGACTAAAAACTGTCCCAACTTAAAAAGGCAAAAGAAATCCTCGAGCTGACAATTTCTCTCACGAACGCAATAATCGATTCAACCACTTTCAGGATAACAGATTCAAATAGCCTCTCTCCCCTCGTGGGAAATAAGGACTGAGAGCTTCTCCGTAAGGAAGCCTGAATCTGCTGACTAGACAAATTCCAAACAAACATAAATTTGTGGTAAATGTAACCCGTGAAAAAGACCAAATGCGTCATTTGAGAAATGAAAAAATTAAATGTTCTATTATCGACTGCCAAGGATTTGGACATATGTATGTATAACCAATCATAATCAGTTTGCACGATCAATTTAACAATTTTATAATTTTTAAATATGCTTTATCCTGTTTCAAAAGATAGATGTAATAAAAATATATATTTTACAGGTATTTATTTATTAAATAATCTGTATAAAATATAGTAATACAACAGTACATCGTATATATAAATCTGAAAAAACATGTCTGAATATGGCGGTGCGGAAAAGCGACAGCCAGCCCTGTAACTCTTTTTTATTTAGTTTTGACTGTGTATTATTAGGGTAGGACGTTGAGGAAAGAGCTTGGGCTTGAAATGTCTGGTTGATTATAAAGAATCATTGAGGAAGGGATTGAAAGATTTGAATTCGTAGATTTTGTTTGACAATGAGTTTGCACCTTTTTTTATTCGAGGGCGTGTTTTTTTAGTCCAGTTGGTTCCATGGTTCTGTTGTCCCAACAAAGCTGCCTTGGTTTGACGGATTATTTTGTTGTTTATGTGTACTATTGGGATAGTCTGTCGTCTGAGTGTAAAGTCACATGGGCTCTTTTGCTCGTTTAACTTGACGCGATAGCGAGTAAACTAGTTGGTAGTGAGGTTTTCGTGTTATTGGATTTTTTCCCTAGTTTAGATAGAAAGGTGTGTGGATTGGGTCTTTTTTGGATGTGAGGATGTGGGAGTATGTCCGCAGTAAAACTAGTGGAGGATTGACCTCAAAAAACTTCCTTCAGAATGCCAGTTTTTCCCTTCGCATTTGGAATCATAAGGATTTTTTCCATTAATATCTAAACTTTCGTTTATTTCGCTCTTTCCCGTGAGCTCAGCGGACGTCAAAAATATATGAAGAATATTTGTTGGAAAGCTTGGCAGAACCGCTGGGAAAAAATGAGTAAAACAGAGAGAATAATGTTGACCCGACTGCGAATAGACCACACTAGACTGACGCATGGTCATCTCTTGGCGAGAAAAAGCGGCGCACAAATAACTGTTAAGCATTTACTAACCGAATGCGAACTGTTGGCGCCGCACAGAACAAAGTGTGGCCTTTCCTCGAGTTTGAAAGAGGTTTTACAATGACAACAGCAAGAAAGTAATCGAATATCTGAAGCAAATAAATGCATATGGTCGCCTTTAATGCTTCTCCACACGTGGTTTCGTTTTCCCTTCCTGAAGTGAGTGTATTTATTGTCGAGAATGTGTGAGTGTACGGGTGGGTAGTGGTCAGAATATCGAGTACACCACAGACTCACCAAACTAGGATAGATATCTCTGGTTACTGTTACTGTTTACTGTTTGAGTGAATGTATTTACTAGTGCGATAGTAGTGTATGCATGGGTGGGTCTATGGTGGAATATCAAGTACCCCATAAACCCACCAACCTAGGTTAATATTTTAGATTAATTTTAATTTTAATTGTACATAATGTGTGGATGTATTTATTAGCGTGAACGAGGGCGGGTCTTCAGAGGGATATCGAGTACTCTGAAACCCGCATAAAGGCTAGGCTAGGATTGAATGTTAGTGAATGAGACAGTTTCATAGCCTTTTCACCCCGTGTGGGAGGGCTAAAAATGTAGAAATAACGTCCCAGAACACAACCAGAAAGATCGCCAGACTTCCTACAGAAAAGCTAACTTCAAAAAAATAAAAAATATAAATAAATAAAAATGAAAGTAAATAAATGTTTAAAACGTGAGGAGGAAGAAATGTGAGGTGCCGGCAATAGCCCAGGCAGCTAGCCGGCCGGGGGGGAAAATCGCTCTATCTTGCTACTGAAATGTTTGGGAGATTTTAGTTTCTTTTGTGAAGTGGCAAATTTTTTGGGGTTTGGTATAGTGAGTTCGGAAAAAAGCGGTTTTTCCGTGTACCATAAACTTTTACTAGCGGGAGAGTTGCGTAGAATTTGTTCGGAAAAGTTCAATATTACACAAGAGTGCAGTACTGGGAACATAAAGTCTCCATTTTCTTGTTTCCATTCATCATCATCATCAGTGTCATATAGGAGATGATCTGTCGTCCTGTCTCTTCTAGATGTATAGGCCATTTGGTGCTCAAATGTAGTCTCTTTTATGCCCATGCCTATACCATTTTCCAACTTTCAACCGCCCATATACCAACAGCTCCAGGTTTGTCTACTTTTAGTTTATTTTTGCAACGAGCTAACTAGTTTTATTGTGTGTTTCAATAATTATTTTGAATGGTTTTTCGAAGTGTAGTATTATGTCTGATAAGTCTGAGATGGTTTAAGCCATGTCTGTTGTATTAACTTTGTTGAAAATTTTAGTTTGTTGTTAGATGCTTCCTTTTCACCGTACGATAAATTTTCAATGCCTCTATTGCCGCTATTCTTTTCATATGTGTAGGTAAGGGTGCAGCTTAACGTTCCATTGCCTCTGTGAGTAGTACTTTTAATTGCACCGAGATACTAAGTCATGCAAATATTTGTTTTATTTTTGGTTACCGATGTAATTTGCATAAGTGATCGTGGGTCCGACAATCTTAACCATAAGTTCGTTTTAGGATTTTGTCCGGACGTTCTTCTACAGAGTCTTTGGTACACCCATGGGCCACAACAGTATGTCGCAGATTCTCTTAAGGTTCATGTTAACCTTTGGTAGGAAACCACTACTACTACTTACGTAACTTCGTGTAATGCTTTCTTTTATTATTACTTATTATTTTTGTCTTATTATTTTTACCATAGTATGGCGAATTACAGCGGCACTGTCATCTGCTTGTACGTCAAAGCCCAATGTGGTTCACTTCTATAGGAGGTCGTCCACTACCAGTGATAATAAGATTGGTGATAAATTCCTTGGGAGATCCATCTTTGAAAAATTCGGACCATTTTCTTTTTAAACTAGTGCCTGAGAGAAAGACTTCATGATAAGGACGAATATTACGATAACGTTTAGAAATACGTGTGAACAATTGCTTGGGTTACTGAGCCGACATGTCTCGGTCACTTTAATGCCCTGATGATTAAAAGATCGGAATCCTGATTGATAACGGGGGATTAAGTTTGTAGAGACCAATATGGCATTACCTTGCAATAAGGAGTCGGTCAACGAGGTTCCCTAAAGGATTTGTGGAAATTCGGGATTAGGATTATTAATGAGAATAAGAAAATTTAATGTGTTGACTATCGCATTGTGAGGAATTATAACTGCGATTTTGAAAAAAATATACACGAGTGTTTTTATAGTATATCATAGAAAGTTCGTTGATTAGAAAGTTAGTTTTCTTAAAATTGGTTGGAGCCTCTTAAGCCCAATGCACATTTGGTGCACCATTGATGATGTATTATAGCCAACTATTGTCAATTTTATACACCGCCTGGTCTACACTGTTTTAGAACTGGCCAATTAATTAAATTAAATGTAAGTTTGGTTTTTTTTTTTTCAGTTTCCCTTTTCTAGGCGTCAAGAAAATACTAAATTGATTGCCTCAATAAGCCAACACAGATTTTTTTCGTTCTCATCTTGTTAGAAAACGTAGAGGTTTGATGTCTGATCGATGGAGGAATATTACAAAAGTTTATTCGTTAAGTGTAAATAATTTTTCTGAGAGAGGTTCGTGCAATATTTCATCAAGTTAATAACGGGTTCCTTCTTACCCTCCTTGGGGCTATTTATGCGGAGCTTTAATTAAGTAATTAAAGTGGTTTTAAACGGTAGTGATTTTTCAGTCTGTCCACAGAGGGAGAAAAACTGAAAAGGCGTAAAACGCAGGGCGGAAATCTAGCGCAGATGGATAAACCGGCTATTAATCCCTTTATCAATTCTATACTGAGAGGAAAAAACGTGGCACCCTCGTTTTTTTAGTAAATACTTGCGTTCTTTATAATTTTTATTTTTTGTTGGTTATGTTCACTGGATATTTTTAAAGAAAAATATAAGATATAGGTAAATAGAAAAATTAAATAAAAAGTGAAAGCGAGTCAAAACATTTTATCAAAAATGTAGCTATTGAAGCAATCAAGAAAATATTCAATTCAGTATGCGTTGATCACCGCTTGCCTTCGACGTGGCTTTGATTTTATGAGGTTTTGAATGAAGTTTTGAGGAATATTTTCATACTCGTCCAACAGCACCATTCTTAATTCCTGCAAATTCTCTGGCATCGCTAGGCGAATTTTTACCCTATTCACACTCGTCCCGAAGGTGTTCGATAGGGTTTAAGTCTGGACTACATGCTGGCCATTCCAAACGTTGCATTGAAGCCCGTCCCCAGTAGTCATCAACCATCCTAGCTGTGTTGGGCCATGCATAAAAATAAAACGGCCAATTAATATCATATGAGGAACAACCTCTGATAACATATCTTCAATGTATCGCGCAGCTGTTTGGGAACCCTCGATGAAGATCAAATTTGTGCGACCTTCCATAGGAATGTCTGCACAAAACACATCTATAACTTCTCCGGTGTGAAAATATTGCGGGGATATATCGCTCTCCAGTTCTTATCTTATCTCTTTGCTTTCATAAGATCTCAAACAAAACCTTGACATCCGCAAACAAAATTTAGTCCAATCTTGCTCAGACCAATTGATGTGTGACTTCACGGAGCTATTCTGTGCCTTGTCAGAAGTTCTGGACCAATGGTAGGCCTTCTTCTGAAAATCCGGCTTCTGAAAGTCTTCGTCTTACAATGCGTAAACTGTTATTAGCATACCTAACTTGTCAAGTCGTTGCTTAATTTCAACAACTCTCTCTGAGCTACATGATCCGTGCCTTCTTGAGTAAACTCCAATAGCTTGGAAGGGATGGAAATCATTTCGGACAGTTGTAACCGAATCACTTATAACCATCACTCAAACAAATTTGAAACTGAAAAACTGTACAACTTAAAAAAAAAATCAAAACAACGGAACGAAGCTTCACCCTAAAACCAACCAAGAAGTGATTGTTTATTCAAAAATATATTTTCACAAAAATCACAAGTGAGATATTTTATCTGTGTTTTATTTACATCTAATCGTTTAAAACGGACAAATGTTATAAGACGGATCAATGGAGGATTGTCTAAGAGATAATTAAAAATATTAAGGATGGCCATTTTTTTTAACTCTCAGTGTATATGTAGAAAAGAGTGGGTTTTATGCCTTTTTGGAGCATTTATATTTTTTAAAAGAGGGATATATTAAAAAAGTTTCTTTTAAAAACACCAGATAACTTCAATATTTATTGCAATTAATTAAGGTTTTTAGTTGAGATAAAAAAGTCAATGGCACGAGCGGGATTCGAACCCCCGATCTTCGGCTTGATACGCCGCTGCTCTACCACTTGAGCTATCGTGACCTCGATCCACTCGGACATCAACTTCCCATCTCAATCACACCTTTTTGAATTTTCCCTCCCTTTTTGTAATATATTAATTGGTCAAGCGGGCCACGAAACTAGTGAATTGAATAAGTTTAGAATGAAGTATACCTTCACTAAAGCTCTCCGTGGCCATTTCATTTGTCGCCAAGAATCAAATTGATTACACGACATTTGAAAAATTGCAAAAAAGAGGGAAAATTCAAAAAGGTGTGATTGAGATGGGAAGTTGATGTCCGAGTGGATCGAGGTCACGATAGCTTAAGTGGTAGAGCAGCGGCGTATCAAGCCGAAGATCGTGGGTTCGAATCCCGCTCGTGCCATTGACTTTTTTATCTCAATTGAAAACCTTGATTAATTGTAATGTATTAATTGGTCAAGCGTACCACGAAACTAGTGAATTAAATATTTATGTTTGATTTTGAACTTATTATTGGTTTAAATCTGAAGATATAAGACTAAAATATAAGAAAGAAGTGAGAAAAAAAGAATTTATTTATAGAAAGTAAAAAAAGAACAATTGATTTTTAAATCAGATAATTAAGAGATACAGAAGAGTTTCAAATCCTTGTTATCTTATCTTCAATCGGGCTTTAATAAAAAACGAAGATGGTTAGAAAAGACAGCGGCGACACTATCTTTGACGGAATCTCAGAGGTGTGAGAAAACGAAAAGAAGGATTGGAAACAGCAAAATTTCTTTCGACTCTTTCTAAACCCATAAAGAAGATTTTACACTGGACGATTCTTATCACTTTTATCCGTGCAAAAGATATAAGGAAACACTTTCAAAAAGATCCCTGTTTTTCCCATGGGACATTTCGCTCAAATCAGATTAAGGATTTACCTTTGGTCGTCGTGATCGGTGTCGTTGTGGTAGGCATGGTTGTTGTTTCCACCCTGATTTCTAAAACAAAAACAAACAATTTTAAACCAAATATTTCGAAATTTCACTGTGCGTTTTAAAGTATGATTTACTCACCATACAATTGGATTGTACCTCGCGCTGAGCCCATGTTATTTGAAAGAACGCAGAAGTATTTACCGAGGTCTATTGCTCGTATGTTTCTTATGGTCAAGTGCAGAGTAATTTCGTACGACGATCTAGTTACTCCTATCTTATATTCCCCACTGCAACAGATGAAAACTATTAATTTACTACAAAAGAAATGTAGAACAATAAATAATCAAGTAAGCAAATAACTGTAGGAAGATAAAATTGAGGTCTGCGAGATAATGGAAATGTTATTTCAGATCATTCTGGTTGGCCTGCTCTCGTTCTGTTTTTCATTTCCTTATTATTGCAGATCATCCGCAATTTTTCGGTGATGTGTTTATTAAGTTGAAACTAACCACTGAATAATCCATCGCTGAAGATGGCGAGCAGCCCAAAAGCTTCGGGTAGGTGAAGAGACAAAATTATAGGTAAGGACCAACCTACTTGTCGAACACCCTGATGGCCCAATGAAGAAATTTTAAACTTTCTTTCTTTACATGAAATATAAAATTCGCACTGCTCCTATTATTAAGGTGGGGTGATTTGACGTTAAAATTTATTAGTTATAATTGTAAAAAAATTGACTTTTGAAATTTTTGTTTATCTTATTTTTTGCAACTGATCATTTTTTCACTCTGCCGCTAGTTAAGAGTGCTAACAAGAGGAAAAACCTGGTAGTGAAAGTTATTAAAAGCGTTTTCTCGAAAGTCTCTTGACTATTTAATGCAAATTTGCAACACCATTTTAATCCTTACCTATTTTACAAAAAGACAACAGTAGTTATTCAGTAATAATCATGGTTCACAAACTAGGCAAACGGCATGGATGGAACAGCACTCGGTACTGTCTATAAAAGCGGATTTCTTCTTATGGTTACATACAGAGGGACAGGCAAAACACCAAAGCTATAAAGGTTTTAACACAGGCTCGTAGATTAGCACTGTTAAGCATACCAGACATTATCAAACGATGCGTTTAAGTTACCGCCAAAGCTCTATTCACGGACTTAAACCGCGTAACGATAACAACCATGAAAAAAGGCCAATTGTCGGTCTACAGGGCTGTCACCTTAATGAGGACAAACTCCATAAAAAATAAATTCTCAAAAAGTGACAGGATCATAGGGAACAAAAGGCAGAATTACATACGAATTTTTCTCTCAACAATAAAAGAGCGAATGTCTCCTTTGCGGATAAAACCAAACTTTTGGCTCTCTTAGTTCTTATGTGGCATGGCAACTTCGAGGCACAACTCCAAAGAATCCACTCTGCGGTAGATGCGGCGAAGATCAGGTATGGAACAATTCGATGGTGTAAAGCACCAAAAGCACAAAGAACCGGTAAAATCTTTTTCCAACATTGGTGGCTAGCAAAACATAGGTTGTTATTAGGCCAATATACTACACTAACATTCCACAAAGCAGTGACAGACATAGGAGCGGATAAAAAGCGAAATATAGATTGAGCGAGGTAAATAACAGCTGAGATAGTACAAGGGAATTCAAGTTGTTTTCTCCCATTAGTTTGTATTTGTTATGTGGAAATATCCGCATATTTATCTATTTATTTATATAATAATTAAAATGAAAATACGTACATATGAGGGAGAAAATAAGTGCGAAAGTTTTCTTTTTGATTTCCATCGGAAATAGGAGTTGTTGTAGACAAAAATTACAATTAAGTCTCCTTAAAATAAATTTCAAATTTGACGGGCCAGCCGGTGTCGGGTCTCTCTATGGAAAAGCGGTAAAGGAGAGGGCAAAAAAAGCAAAAGCAAGAAAAAGTTTCCTTCCAATTAGTTTACTCTTCTTAATGTACTAGCACCTGAGACACAGTACAGCTTTGGAAGATAACATGTCCCCAAAATTTCCATCAACTGTGGCGGATGAAATCCGGTAAACGATAGAGGAAAAAAATTGTACCGGGCATTGTTTGAGCGCGAGCATTTGACCGTGTATGGCATGCTAACAAAAAAAAAACAAAACCCAACACTAACTATAGATTCATACAAACATACGTATTAAAACGTACTTTTGCTGTTACAATTGGGAAATTCGTTGTCCACGATGCCACAGTGTAGCTGATTAGACCCGTTATGATATCTCATCTATTTCTCGGGCTACTCTCCATTAGAAAACCACAACGTATATAAACATAAAACAGTAAATTCTCTCTGGCACTCTCAACACGACACGCAAGAATGGCACAATTACACAGAAGACAAACATTTTGTGTGAGTAGAAATACTTTGATTGAATATAAAAAATATATTTGCATTATATAACACTTTTCCACATCCTAAATGTATTTGTTAAATGTAAACAATGTTTGTAAATCCCAGGCCCTGAAGATGATCTTAATAAAGATCGAAACGTTGGCACGATAAAGAAAATGTTTTTCTGAAACCTGCATCACACCAGACCGCATCTCACGATTTCTGAATAATTATCGATTAACGGTCACTAATCACCACGCATTTGATACAGTGGCTACCTCGAGCAAACAGCATTTAAATGTAGTAAAAAAATTGAGAGTAAAAATGAGTAAGGAAATCCCAAGTGACTTACACACCAATAAACTAAAACGTGCATATTATTTCTCAAGGTGATACCAAGTAGTACCTAGGTTTAGTAATCGATGAAAAGCTGATTTGGGTGATCACCTTATCAAGGCCATATAACAAAACTTACTTCCGGCATTAAACTGCTAAAATGCTTATTATAGAAAAGTCAAAACTCTCACTCTAATTAAAAACGGCTAGCTTACTGGCAGTAATACTCCAAAGCTGGACTTATAGCCTGTGGATGTCTACGAACCATAACAGCACCATGGTACGTCCGCAACAAACATATTGCACGGAGGTATCAGTGCACCATTCGTAAAAGCGGTCATAACAAGGTCTTACAGAATACTCCAAAAAACTATCGGACCTCCCAACAAAGACAGAGAGGCACCAGCCAAAAAACAATCCGTTATTGGCCAGTGAGTGATGATTGAAAAGAAAACTTTAAGATCTATTAATCTGAACAAACCATTTTTACATGAGAAAATTCCTCTTCTGTTAAATCGTAATCTTTATTGGGAAAATAGTGAAACTAATTTCTAATTTTGTGTATAATGATTATGATTTTCTTTTTATATATTGCAATAAAAGTAACCTTCATTGACATACGTATTGTAGAGACTGATTTCATTAATTCGTAAAAGACTTTTCCTATTAAAATTATTGTATTAGAACATATCATACAGTAGAACAAACAGAACCCAAAAAATAATTGCAATGGACGTTTAATTGGATCAAAACTTTCAAACATTGGTCAGTGGGCTCTAATATTTTCCGTTCGTGCTTAAGAGAGGAAGCATCCTTTTACCCGTAATCGTGGACTTCTCCGATTTCTCTGTGCCAGGAGGTGTTGTCGTTTGGAAAAGCGTGGAAATCGCAGCTGATGCTGACTGAAGACCCGAGGACGGCGCCGACCTTCTGACTCGGCTGCCTCGCGACAGGAGTGACTACAAACACAAACAGAAAAAGGTAATAGATTGCAAAAAAATGATAGTTTTTCAAACTATTTACAATTTAGAGGGAAATTGCACGTTTGAAAAAAGATTAACCATGTCCTTTACTCACAATTTATTCGGAGCACAATCCTCTTGCTGACTGCTGGCGGGATGTCGTTTGTGGCTATACATAGATAAGCACCCATCTGAGTGTAGTCGACTTTTACGAATTTCATCATCTCACCGTGGTAGCTGTCAACTGGTAAAAACACTTTGATAAATATGGTAATAACGCTTTTGGTTTGTTGATAGGTATTTTATAACATATAAAGTATGTATACAGCTGATAAAATTGATAAGCTTATCTTTAATATATTTAGTTATCAGCCAATATTATAATTTTATATAAAAAAGTCAGGGATATGATGAATTGTATAGAAAACATTCGGTTTCTTTGTTGACGTTTCGAGAAATACTATTTTTATCACTACTTTCAAATTTAATAAATAGAAATATTAATCTTTGGCTTTAAGTATAAGTTCAAAATTTGTACTGTCCTGATGAGATATACTTTTACAAACGTCGATGAAGGAACTAAATATTTTCTTTCCAATTGTCCTTTCCTTTGCTGCTTTTATTAGTAAAATATAGAAAACTTTTAGATTAATGTACAATTGTAAAATAACATATTTATAAATTAATTCTAATTATGGCGAAAGATATTTGCATTTTTTTAAGCGGGTATTTCAATTACGAGGCTACATGAGCCCTCGGGGTGCCGGTGTTTTTGAAAAAAAAAAGCTCGTTTGTATGTTTGTCGGGTTCGAATGAACGACCGCTTGGGTTGAATCTTGTATTTACAAATACTATTTACAGGTTAAAGTTAACCGTTATATATGAAAAAGACCATGTATTTAAACAAAACGGTTTTTGAAAATAATTGTTATGGCAGAAAAAATTATTAACATATTTTTGTCTCCGTGAAGATATTTGCTAATTTGGTGCCTTGAATAAAAAGCCGTGTATACTAAACCCGCAAGACTTGCCTGTGTTGCAGAACTGTTGGCCTTGCGCGAAGTAAGACTTACAAGCAACGTTACACTAAATTAATGAATCGAATAGGTAATAAATTAGTTGTTTATANTATATATATAAAACCAAGAATAAAACTTAGCTACACATTCAAAGGATGGCAGCAAAACTGATAATTAATTCTTTATTGGAAATGAAGCATCAAGTAAATAATGGCCATACCAAAATTTTTCACAAAAATAAAATAGCTGACAATAATATCTCTATTTTACGAAACAGAGAAAAGACTAAACTTTTTATCAATACTTTTTTATTTATTTTTTTTTTACACCCTTTCCACCACCCCGCCGTACCTGAGGAAGACCCCATACCAGCGGACAAACGCTTTAGCTTAATCGAATTTGTATATCTAAGGGATTTCAAATAAATGGGATATAATTACCTCGCAACGATCTTTCCTTCGGGCGAGACCGCTGGTGGGTTTTTGAAGGGACCTTATTTTCATTTTAAAACCTAAAACAAAAGGTCTTTCCTTGCCGGTTTCCCCTTGCACATTTACTTTTTCTTGATTTTATTTTCTATATATTTATATTATCTAAAATTTTCTTACTAAGAAGAGAAACTTTTTATCAATACTTTCAAATTTAATAAATTAAAATATTAATCTTTGGCTTTAATCATAAGTCCAAAATTCGTGCTGTCCTGATGAGATGTAGTCTTAGAAAATTCGACGAAGGAACTAATTGTTTTCTTTCCTCCTTTAATTAGTACGATTGTAAAATAACATATTTAAAATTAGTTCTAATTATGGTTAAAAATATTTGCATCTTTTACGAGGGTATACATAACAAAATCTATCTTTGACGAGAAAAACTAGACTTTAAAAAAATTAATATAATAATGAAAAAGATAGTAGAATGGAAATATCAAAGAAGAAAAACATCGAGTTTTTCTACGGTAGGTATGCAGAGGGCTCAAACAGGAATGGGCATAAAAAGGTCTAACTATGAATACCACATCGCCCTCGGCTCAAAAGAATCAAATTTCAAACTGAAGAGCAGGCTAGGACACATACACATGTAATAACTAATCAACATCATATATCAGATAGCCAAGCAGTTCTAAAAGCTCTCCAAGCCTACAAGATCAATTCGAAACTATCCTGGAACTGCATAAATACCATAAAAAATCAAGGATAATGCTAGTGTATGTTAGGCAACGGGCAGCAGACATCCTAGCCAAAAAACCGAGCCTCGGCAGAACAGGCTTATATCCATTTTGTGGCATAAATTATAGCCACAATAAAAAAGAATTTGAATCAAAGGATCTGAAGAACGCAACAAATATTGCGATGAATAAAGCAAGTAAAAAGACTACTTCAAAAATTAAACAATGGAAACAAAAGGAGATCCTATTCACCAGAAAGGAATTTAAAAATCCTTACAGGTACATTTATGGGTCATTCTCTAGTAATATACCACCTAAACGTAGAACTATCTAAAGATGATTAAAGTTGACTCCAGGGAAACAAACGCAATAGTGCATATCATGCAGAAATTCCCTGCAACTAGGAAAGGCTATGGTACTAGAAAAGCTATACTTGGGCAATGTAGACTTCGCCTTTTGAGAAAAATTTGTACTTCATCAAAGAAACAAAAATATCAGGAAAACCATTAGCAGGGTTAAAATAAATAGACGAAAGTTTAAATCCCAAAGGGTTTAATCAACGCCAAATAGAGATAAAAAGAGAAAACGTAAATATTAGAATTATAAATATAATTATGCTGGTGTTAATGTGCGACAATAATATTGGGTGTTTACGTGGTGTTTGACCGTTTTAATCTAACCCTTGCATTGGCTAAAACAGTTTTTCAGCTGTTTTATTTCTGTTTGACTTTTACTCTGCTTTTATTGTAATTCTAAATGATACTTTCCACGAGGACACTTATGAATGCATTTTGTATGTTCTGTTAACTTTTAAAACTTATAGACCGACGTCTGGCAGACGGTTGTTATCCATTGCCGTATTGTCCTTTGTATTATTAGATACAACGTAGTTATGTCGTAAAAGATTTCATTCTTTTTAATTTAATGAAGTACTTTCTTCATTCACTTATGAATTCAAAAACCTCTAGGACAATCTTAACCTCTTCATTTCATTTAGTTCAATCTAAAAGAAATTTAATTTTCTACAACGACACATTCTTGAAGAAAGCAGTCTTCAAGCTTGAGATAATTTCAAAAATGTTTTTGACCATGCATATTATATTAAATCGTTATCAGCACGTTAATTGTTATCAAGATCACAATTTGTTGAGAACATCTCTTCTTAGGAATTTCAACTAATGTAAATGAAAATCACAATGAGATAGATCATTGAGCAATAGTAGTAAAAGTTCACTATTTTTCGTGGTCCGCTTGACCAATTCATAACATTGAATTAATTAAGGCTTTAAGTTGAGATAAAAAAGACAGTGTTACGAGCGGGATTTGAACCTACGACCTTCGGATTGATACGCCGCTACTCAACCACTTGAGCTATCGTGACTTCGACCTCCGCGGACACCAACTTCCCATCTCAACCACACCTTTTGAATTTTCCCTCCTTTTTGCCATTTTTCAAATGTCGTGTAATCGGATTGGATTCTCGGCGACAAATGAAATGGCCACGGAGAGCTTTAGTGAAGTATACTCGAAGTCACGATAGCTCAAGTGGTAGAGTAGCGGCGTGGGTTCGAATCCCGCTCGTGAGACTGTCTTTTTATCTCAACTTAAAACCTTAATTAATTGAAGTAGTAAAAGTTTTTATTTATTTTAACACACAAATATTTAAAACTTTTACTTCGACAATATATACATCTTATGAATGATTTTGGTTAATTTCACTCCTTCAAGTCTGCTTGTAGGTTTTGTATTTTTTTTTTTTTTGTATGTGTTGGCCAAGTATATAGTCTGTAGTTAACTATTTTTCTACGTCTTGCTTTTATATTTCTTTTTAACGTTACATCTGATTTTTACTTTTTTTGTTGTTGTCCGAAATTGAAGTTATTGTCTATCTTTAAGTGTAAAAGATTAGAAATAATATATGTTCTTTACAGATGGTATTTGATTGCAATAAAAAAATTAAGTTGTTAAGGTTAATTGTGGCTTTAAATGTTACAAATGCTACCACTTCTGTTTGTAGTTCGAAAAGAAAACGAATTCTGATTTCAGTTCTGTGTTTAATATTTCCTAATCGAAAATGCTGCCCCTCGTCGTTCTATAAATTGGCATTAATAAAAGAAGTTATATTTCCTTTGGGCGTCTATCTAGATAATTTATTCAAAAGAGACTAACTTTCTTTGCGTTCTCAAAAGCTCAGAACAAAAGGTCTTTCAAAGTTTGAAAGTATAATTACTTGTACCGTTACGTTCGCCCTTTACCAAACCCTGAATCATTTATGAACGAGTAATATTAAGAGATTTATACGCAGCAAATTAATAAAAGTAAATTTCTCTGTCAGAAACGTGCAAAAGATAAAGAGACGCGGTGGAATTAAAGATAGCAATAACCGTAGAAAAAGTTATACACCCTTATATTATGTGATATACCCTTTTACTTTGAAGGAAGGGATCGGCTCGGTGGCTGATAAAATCATCCCAATCCTGTTCGCTTTCTAAGCAGCGCATAAAGCTCCACTCTAAATTGCTTTGATCCATTTGGTTTTATTTATCTGTTTATTCAGAAAGTATGCGCTGAGTAAGTAGCAAGCACATGATTAATGTTCATGCCACGCTCACCTTGCTTCAGAGCCATTAGACTATGTTTGAATGAACTGTTTTATTTTTACAGTTATCCCATCTATAAACGTATGTGGCAGTTATAATTTTAATTAGGTGTCCGGCAATGAAGAATTCAAGGATCAACGTAGGTAATTTTAAAACTTTACATAAAGGGATTTATTTTTGCTGTCTACGTAGTGATAAACTTGTATTTTGGTCTCTCTTTTCTTGCTGGTTTGGTCTGTTAGACGCTTTTCGTTTCTCGTCATCTTCACTGAGCTACACCAACAGCAGAATTAGACCGTCTGTTGTATCATGGCAAATTATCAACGACCCTATCGCTCGAGTCAATATGACCCATGACAACCATCGACAATTTCACTGCAAAATCTCCCGGACCCCGAACATTTAGCAGTGAACATTTGGTTTATCCGTTTGCCTCTTGGAGTTCATCTTACTCCTTTTC